CACACACACACACACACAAACACACACAAAAAAGCAATCCATCCAGCGCCAAAATGCACAAACGAGCAAACAAAGTCTCCCCTCCCCAAAATACTCACGCGCTCGGAATACATGCTTTGCTGCGCGGCGGCTCGCTCAACAACATACTGCGTCTTGCTGTTAAAGGTGTAAAAGACAAGACCTGTTTGGCCAGAAAACCGATTCTTGAGAATATCGATTGCGCGAAGGGTGCCGCCAGGAGCGTCCGCAAACTTGTCAAACTTCTGGAGGGCCCACACGTTGTCTGCTTCCTGCGTCGCCTTGCCCGTGCCAGAGATGGAGGCCGTGTGCAAAACAGAGCCCAGGTTGGGACTGCTGGCATCGTCCTTGCGAGGGTGCATGACCAACGTGATGTGAATGTTCAGATCGGTGGACAGCTTGCGCAGTTTGGAGATGGCCTGATCCTGAATGGTGAACTTGTCAAACCCGCTCTTGGACGAAATGTCGAGCATGAACTGCAGATTATCCAGGACAACGTGCTCAATGTTGTACGCATATTCCGCCTGGCGAATCGCGTCAATGACATCGTCAATCTCGGTCTGGCCGAAAAAGTTCATCCAGAACATTGGGATGTGAGACATGAAGGACGACTTGTCATCAAAGTCCGCGCGAGTGACCTGGGCGAGGTCGGTGTTGTGCGTTTGACGGATCATGGTCTGGGCCAGTCGAGCGTTTCTGATTTCAAAGCTTCCCCACAAGGTTGGGACGTTCGACAGGCTGGCCAGTTCCAGCGACAGCTGGGACAGTACGGTCGTCTTACCAGCACCTACAATTGTGCCGCGCCCCGTCCGGCAGGCAGGCAGACAGACAGACAGACAGACAGACAGACAGACAGACAGACAGACAGACAGACAGACAGACAGACAGACAGACAGACAGACAGACGGACAGACAGACAGGCAAACAGACAGACAGAAAAATGAGCTCCTAATTTCAAAAGCGAAACAACGTTTCCAATCCCTCAAGCTGGTGCACGCTTACCTGTTGGTCCCGTGAAAATGGTCAATTCACCTCGACGATGCCCACCAACAATCGACGTCAGGAAAGGAAAGTTGACAAACGGAATGCCGCGCGCTTGGGCGGAGTTCTGGCTCAGCTCGAAAACATCCTCGCGGAGATCGTCAAAGGTGAGAATGCGGTCCACAGAGAAGCTGCGGGCTTTGTGGATAATGTTGCGCAAAGACAAGCCCGCGTCGAACGCCTGGTGAGGGTGGAAGAAGGTTTCGCGGCGACCGCGCGGGTTTTTGACGACACTCACGCGGTCGAGGCCAAAGCGACGTGCAAAACGGACCAGGCTTGGTGTGTGCAAGTACGAGTCAATCCACAGCGTGATGGTGCGGAAGGGCTCGAGGTGAGGAAGCAAGTCCTGGGGCAGTACGAGCCGGGCGGCATCGTCATGCTCGACCGCCGCTTGCACTTGCCCTTCGAGGGTGGTGACGGCCTGCGCGGACGAGTGAGGCGTGTCAAGCATGGGCGGCAGAAGAGCGATGGTGGGAAGGCCCGTCTCCTGGTGGACAAACATGGCATCCACCTCGTTCAGGGTGACGACGAGATGGTCGTGGGAAGACGAGCCCAGCGTGTGCCAGCCAAACACGCCAGGATGCTCGAACGGCGGGCGCACTGCTTCTGGGTTGGCGACCAGCTGAGTTGCGGTTGCAATAAATTCAGTCGACGGCACAACAGAAAGCTGGGCGTTTGCTGGGTGGGGCACTGCAGCCGCAACGGTGCCAGTCGAGTCCACGAACGGAGCAGTAAAGAAGGAATGCGATGCTGGGTTGGCTGGAAGTGTGGCAGCAGCTTGGCCGGATGCCGCCTCGTCCATACCGCCCATGTCGATCATGGCGGCCGCGGACGTGGACATTGCTCGCTTGCCAGACGCAGGTGGTGCAGCTGCCATAGATGGGGCGGGAGACGGAATTGGCTGCGAGTCGGCGGGGGCGACCGAAGCTTCGGCGACAAAGAGCTTTGGGGGAAGAGGGACTGCATCACGAACCAGGCGTTCGCGGGGCAAGGTTTCCTCGACCGAGCGCAAAAAGACATCCTTGACGGTGCGCATCCGCACGCGCCGCACAAAGTACTGCGGGATCTGGTCGTGCTGGAAGGGCAGCAAATGCTGCTCATGAAGGCGATGCTGCTCGGCGACGGCCTGTGCGTGCAAGGCCTCTTCTTCGGCGACCGTGGCGATACGACCGGGCTGGGACACGCGAAACACGGCAGGACTGGCCTCGACCGCCAGGCTGTCGAGTTCTGAATCGTACCGAACGGGTCGTCGCGGCGACGCCCGCTCATCCGCTGATGTCGGGACAGTTTTGGCGACAATGTGGCTGGTGTACGGGAAGACGAGCGCGGGGGCCGACACGACGCCCTTGGCATTGTCCACCAGCATGACGCCAACACCGTACTTGGCCAGCGTTTCACGACTTAGCGCTGCGCATCCAGCGGCAGCGAGCAGCGCGTCCAACGCGGGCGTGGGAAGGGCTTGCAGGTTGGTCGCGCAGTTTTGCGTGGTGCGAAACTGCGCCGCAGACGATGCGTGCCTGGCCAGCAAATGCTGAGGGGCGAGTCGGACCTGCGCACTGCTGGCATTGGGAATGGTGGTGACGGTTACAGCAGCAGCAGCGGTAGCGGTGGACGAAGGTGCGCGTGCGACTGTCGCAGTCAAGTCTCCCCATCGCGAGCCTGGCGTGCTTCCAACAAACCCGACCAGGGCATCCCATAGTCCATCGTGCAAGCAGGCTGTGCAGCTGAAAGCGCCTGAAATGCGGTTGACGTGGAGCGACCACGCACTGCCGCAGAACGGGCAGTTGGCCGCCTTGACTTGCGTGACTCCAACAGCCGTCTGAACACCGCGCTTGCGAAAGAAGCCCACGAATTCTTCTTCGTTGTGTCCATGTCTGGGTGTAGCTAGTTGCTGGAAGTTGCGAGCAGGCATAGTATTGCGCCGCGTTTCCAATCCCACTAGTGCAGCAGTGACAGCGCTGGTCGGTCTTGGCAATGTCAAGCGTCTTGCGCTTCCTGCTTCCAGAGGGAAGGTAATCACAAAGGTCACGAAACAAGAAGGCAAGTAAGCAATACAGAGGAAAAAAAAGAAAAAAAAAAAAGTCAGTACAGCACTTTGACGTTGACAAGTTGAGCAGTCTTGGCGCCTAGCCATGGTGCCTCAGTTCGACGCGGACATCCCACTCCCAGGACTCGACGGGGTTTGCTTACCTGCGCCAGGAGCACACAATGTGGATGGGAGTGCTGCTGTCGATGCCATCGCCGGGAGAAAGGTCGAGGCAGCGCGGCAGGGCGGGACTGTGGCGGCGGCGGCGCCTGTGCTTGTGCTTGGCGGTCTTGGCAGCGAGACGCGCGTGTTGGAGAGCCGAGCTAACGCCGTGGTGGTGCAGTGGCGCGCGACTGCCACAGTGGCAGATGCAGCGGCAGGCCTCAGGGCAAGCATTTGGCTAAAGTAGTGGGGGAGCACGACGGTGGGTGGTGGAAGAGGGCGGATGAGGGGTTTGGGTTGAGCGGTGGAAAAACAGAGAGTGTGCTGGCAAATCCATTGAAGGACATTGACGAACGGGGCTTCCACCATTCACTTGCATTTTGCAGAACTGGTTACACTGTTGCAAGGTTTGGCTGGAGGTAAAGGCGGCGGTTTCAAAAGTGGGCCGTCACTCGATTTCCAGCTTTCCCCTTCTTTTGCCCTCTCACCACAGCACTTGACAATTTCACCTTCCTGATCCAACGCTCCTGCAATTTTTGCTTTTTGTTGGTTGGTGCGTTTGACATCTCGAGCCGTCTTGATTTCCATTTCGCTAAAAGTCTCTCTTCAAAGCTCAGCTTCTCAATGTGGAAGCGAGCCATTCGGTCTCTCCTCTTTCTTTAACAATGTCGCGTGGTAAGCATGAAAAAACCATTGGAAAAAAAGTTTTCTTTCTTGCACAAGCTGCGGCGCTGTCCAGAGCCCGAGGACAGCCAGCCACCGGATGATCGACACGTTGCCATACAGAGGGACCGAAGAAGGGGGCAGGGCCTTCAGGGGAGTACGGGGGAGAGGAAAACGGTTTGGCTGAAAGCCGATCGCTTTCGGTCGCCCTTCGCTCCGTCGACCCCTTCTGCCCCATCCGCTGCCACTGGCCCCGCCTGCCGCAGCGAATCCATCGCCTCCATTGATTCAGTAACGGATTTGCATCCGGGGAGGCGGCAGACAGGCGATGCAGACCCGGCAGACGCATCGGCAACCCGGAATCGCTCGGCAGCAAAGCAAAATCGGATTGACTTTTTTTTTTGTTTTCTCCTTTCTCCTCGTTCCTACGCTCGTCACTGACCTCTACTCCACCCTCTGTGTGCTTTCTCTTGTCAATCTCGAACAGCCACGTCCGGAGGTGCCGGCTGCGGTCGTTTCCGCATTGCTCTCGGTCTGCCCGTTGGCGCCGTCGTCAACTGCGCCGACAACACTGGTGCCAAGAACCTCTACTTCATCTCCGTTACCATGGTCAAGGGCCGCCTTAACAAGCTCCCCTCGGCTGGTGTCGGCGACATGGTTATGGCTACCGTCAAGAAGGGCAAGCCGGAACTCCGCAAGAAGGTCATGCCCGCTGTCGTCGTCCGTCAGCGCAAGGCTTTCCGTCGTCGGGAGGGTCTCTTCGTCTATTTCGAAGGTATGTGTGATTTTTGGCTCGTTGATTGATGGTTGGAGTGTCTTGAAACACTGGACGGAGTGAGAATAGAGAGCGGAAGGGGTGTTGTTGGGAACTGGGATTTTTCTTGTTGTTTTCGTTCGTTCTCGCTTTTCTTCAACCTTTGTGGCAACTCGTGCTTCCGGTGATGACATGTTTGAATCTTATGCACTCATGCTGAAATTCACTAAAATCTACTAAACATCTTTCGGGGCTGAAGGACACGAACCACGATCCTCTTTATTTTTTTTCTTGTCATTGCTTTTGTTCTTTCCTCGTTCGCTCTGTGACTTGTCCTGCTTGCCTGCTTTGCCTTTCGCCTTTCACTGTTCTTACCTTTTTGTTTGCACTCTATACCTTTGATCCAAATAGACAACGCCGGCGTCATCGTCAACAACAAGGGTGAAATGAAGGGTACGTTTTTTTCCCCCCTTCAACTCGCCAACTTTGTCTTGTCCTCTTCTTCCACCGCTTGTACTCACCTTTTTGCAACCGTGTCCACATTGTTCCATTGCCCCCATTTCTACAGGCTCTGCCATCACCGGCCCCGTCGCCAAGGAGTGCGCTGACATCTGGCCCCGTATCGCCTCCAGCTCACCCAGCATCCAGTAATGCGTTGACTGCCAAGCTCTCATTGCCCTGCTCATCACTAGTGGTGATGGGGTTGTGGGAGGGAACGCACCATACACAGTTACACCGTCCCGCCTTCCTCAGTTGTTGAATGATGTTTTGCTCTTGTTGTTCAATGAAACTGTTTTTCTTCTTGTCTTGATCACGAACCACTTGCTATGTCACTGTATTTTGAATAGCCCAGCCAAGAGTAGAGGGGGAGGGGGTCTGTTCTCAGTCTTTTCGTTTGTCGTGCTTTTCGACGCTTTATCGTGGGTCGACATGGCTTTGCACGCGGCCATCCAGCGCGACCTCGACCTGGAGGAACAAGTTCTCAAGCGACTACACACCAAGCTCACCGATCAATTACATCGATTACAAGTGAGACGATGGGCAGAAAGAGTGGTGTTTTTGGGAGAATGAGTTCAAAATCGTGCTCTGACTTCTTGGACGATGCGACGCGCTTCCTCTCACTTGCTGGCTCTTTTTTTTGTTAAAATCCTGGGTGTGTGCGTGTTTCCGTTGAGCGTAGGTCGAAGAGACTGTGCTCGAGCGCATGGCGAGCGAGCAGTCCTCGCACATGTCCACCCGAAGCGTTCTCGATTCCTTGCTGACCAGCGCTGTTTCGACACCCACCCATTCCGCATTCGCCGGATCGACCGCAGCATCGTTCGGTGGTGGCGGGTACGCGGGGTCGGCCGCGTCGACTCCAGCCTTCAAGGCGCCCTATCCATCCTCCCAGCATCGGTTCTCGCAGCCATCCACCGCGGCTTCCACTGCGCCCGGCTCGCCCGCTGTCTATTCTAACAGTCAGAATGGTCATAGACCGGTATGTCGCTTATTTTGACGGCCTGCATGTGGTTGTTTCTGTTTGACCGAGAAAAATGTCTGAGATTTGTGGTCGCTCTTCTCACCATCATCACGCATTTGCCACCCCCGCTTGGATGTCTGCGTGTGAACGAATGCCTGTGGCACAGCTCGTACCACTTTCTCTAGAAACGGGACCGCGGATACGGCCCTCTGGGATTTCCGACATTTCCGATGCTGCTTCGTCTTCCTTGCTTGCTGCCGACAGCCGTGATGACTCGATGAGCGTCGACCCAGACGCCGACGACGACGACGACGACGACGACTTTGACGACGAAGATGATGATCTTGCGCGCGACGCGCTTCGACGAATTCTCGACACCGAGCTCGGAACCAACTGGGACGAAGATGGCGACGACGATGGCGATCAAGGCGAGGTCTTTGAGGACGAAGACGATGAGGACATGATGTAGTGGGCTGCATGTCGGGATTTTGGTGATGATTGCAGACCTCCCACATGTGCCCTCCTTGTACTGTAGATATGGATTGGAAAGAGAAGCTCGTTTTGATGAATTTGTTCATTTTGTGACAAGCTTGAGCAACTACGAGCGCTGGACGACGAGTGTGCCGTTTGGGGATTACGTGCACGATCGCATTCGCCATGCTTGAAGATGCATTCAAGGAAAGGGAGATGATGAAGTCAAGATCTAGGCTGATGACACCCATCGCAGCCAAAGATGGGAAACTCAGCAGTCAGTTTTCAGCTCGCATATTGCACAACTCTACTGCATTGAACTCCATTCTTCATTGAACCAAACACACAGCCCAAACACACACTCCGACAACAGACCAACAGCACAGACCAACGGGCACCCCCAACGATGCAGCAGTCCCCAGCCACTCCGCCAGCGGTGCTCTTTGGTAACCAACAACCTTCGCTCATCTCGCCCCGCTTCTCACTGACGCAGTCTAACGCCAAAAGCGTCGTCCGCGTCCTTCCAGTTGCACTTTGTTTTCTTCTCAAATACGCAACAGTGAGCTTTGGTCGCTCCCTCTGTTCCAGCATCCACAGCTGACGAGGGCAGTGGTCTGCGATAGAGTCGCTTCACGTCATCGCTTCCCGCCTTCCTACAAACCCCGACGCTCGCTCTCCTTCGCCTTTTCGTAACCCCTCGTCATCACACCAACCACCCCCCCTATTTTGAGTGAACAACAGAAGCAACGCAAAACAACTCGAAGCAGCATTTTGTCGCGTCCATCGAGCTTCAAAGCACAGTCAATATTGCAGCAGTCAAAATCGTGTGCAGCTCACTTCCCTTTTTTTTTTTTTTTTTTTTTTTTTTTTTTTTTTCATTTTGTGTTTTTTGTTTCAACTTTTTCGCTGTTTTTGGATTTTCTCAGACTTTTATTGTGCGCTCAAGCCCGGTGGATCTGTCGCGCCGTCGCCTGCCACCACGCCTGCACCCGCTACTTCGACCACAGCCATTGGGTATTCTGCAAGCAATCCCGGCTTTGGATTGCTCGGATTGCCGCCGCCGTCGTTTCCCCTCCAACCCGCGCCAGTCTACACGCCCGGCGTTGATCCGCTGCAAGGCCGACTGCTTCTCACTGCGACGCACGGATACTTTCGGTTGGCATCGGACAAGGCAAGTGTCCAGTCTGGTGGATTTGCACATGTTGGTTTTTTTTTGGCGCGAACAGCTGAGAAAGGTCGCAACAAACAGCAAAAAACCAGAAACAGCAAACAAGGCAAAGTTGCTAAAACTTGCAACCCCTTTGCTTCAACTTTGACCGAGTGCCACCCCACTTACTCGCTCCGAAGCCACGTTGAAAGCATGACCAATCGCTGATTGCTGGGGGGCTCAACGTTTGATTTTTGTGGTGCTTTGAAAACCCAGGTTGCATCGGAACGGCACCAATTTGCGTTTGCAGACGTCCGGAGTATTGTTGCGCCAGACGCCTTCATCCCAATCATTGTTGTCGACACTGCAAGAAAGCAGGTGAGTGTGATTTTGCCATCATCGTCGGTCGGTGGGAGTGAAGCGCAAGATATGTTTGCGCTAACGGTGCAAATGGTGGTGGCGTTTTTGAAAACAATCCAGTTTGTCTTTTCCAACTTTTTCCACCGGAACGTCACCCTCGACGCGTTGCTATCCTTGTGGAACAATAACAATACCAGCGGCAGCGGCGGAGCTCCTCCCAAACCCAGCAAATCTCCAGAGCCAGTGATTGTCGCCAGCGAGCCGCAACCATTGCGCCCAGTCAACAATATGCCTCCTGCCTCCTCTCCCATTCAACCGCCAAAGGCCGAGGCGAGCGCCACAACGCCCGCTTCCAACAGCCACGCACCAGCCTCGCCAGTTACATCATCGCCATCGTCGCTGAAGCGCCGAAAGCCGGATGTTCGCGTCGTTATTGGCTCTGCTTCAAACTCGCCGTCCGCTCCGGCAACCAGCACGCCCAGTGCTCCTGCCTCTCTCGGTGCTCTCAGTGACGCCGAAACAGAGCGAGCTGCCCTCACCGCTTGTAAGTGGATTTCCCCGTTGAAGTTTTTTTTTTTTGTTTTGCCAACCGTGCGTTTTTTTTTGTTGCCTCACTTGACACCTTGCTCTTTTCTGTCTGGTTTTGTGTCTGGTCTTTTGCTGCAGCCATCATGTCCACCTGGTTTACACCCCAAGAAACCACCGAGCAGCGCACGCTTCCTGACGGAACCGTCGTGGCCGTGTCGATCAAGACGGTTCGACGCGCGCTCACCAACGTGCCCTGCTTGGGGTGCCGAAACGTGGCCGCCCGGAAGAAGTGTGCCTCACAGCTGTGCGCCACTTGCTGCTGGGCGGCCGATTCCTTGTGTAAAGTGCACTTTACGCCAAAGTGGAAGGCACACCTCGCAGAGCTCGAGCGCGTTCGTTTGCAGCAGCTGCGTGTTCAGCGCGGCCCTTGCCGGCACTTTATGGCTGGCCACTGCCGCAACGGTGTAAACTGCCTGTACGACCACGGCTCGAACGAATATCTCAGTTCTCCCAGCATTGGGCGGCATCTGATCGAGTCCACTTCTGGCGCAGGCTCGTTGCGCGTCGTCCTTCGCGTTGTCTCTGCTGCCTCTGTTGGCAAACTTGGAATGGAGCTCGGCGACAAGATTAATCTTCCTGCCTCGGTGCTCATGTTTGCCGTGCAGCGCGAGCTGACCTATCCGATGGTGCGTTCCTCTGCGTTTTTCGTTGTTGTTTTGGTGTGGTTGTGGCCTGAGTGTTAACCCGCAAGTCTGTTTGATGTTGCAGGCATTTGAGATGACCAAGCACGTGGCCGAGCCGGCTCCTCCCAGCTCCACCACTGCAAACTCGTCAACCACTGCAGCCACCACGAATACCGATGAGCCAGCGACTGCTACTACGACTTCTACTACTACACCTACTACGACTACTACTGCTACTCCCCCGCCTCCTGCGAACGTGCACGGCGGCGTCCTCGATTTCACCACAGACGAAGGAACAGCCATCTTGCCCTCTTGGATGATGAAGCACATTGGCGCCGAGACGGGCGATCAGGTCGTCTTCCGCTACGCAAAGCTGCCCAAGGGCGAGTTTGTCAAGCTGCAGCCCGTTTCGACCACTTGGCTGGCTGTGCCGTTCGAGCAACGGCGCTCCGTCCTCGAGTATCACCTCCGAAACTACCAGACGCTGACGGAAGGCATGACCGTGTCCATCGAACACCACCAGTCGCAGCACGACTTCAAAGTGCTCGAGTGCAAGCCGGCGCGTGCGATTTCCATCATTGACACGGACATTGTCACGGATGTTGTCGAGCCGCTCGAAGACTTGCGCTTTGGCCACACGCAGCTGGTCTGTGACGCGACGCCCGTGACTGGCTCGGTCAAGAAGGGCGAGTCCCTCTACTATCTCTTCCATCCCAAGTCGGTCATTCCAACCGCCCTGTCCGGCAGCGATGCCTCGATTGCTCGGATTGTCCTGCGGGTCCATCCCATCTCTGGCGACCCCGATCTCTACGTCAGCCAGGCCGTCCTGCGTCCCCAGCAGGCCATGTACACCTGGTGTGCTCAAGAGCCCGGAGACAAGCTGTTGGTGCTCGAGTCCTCGTCCAATCCTTCTGACTGCGCCAATGGGTCGGCTCCTGCTTCCGGTCGTACCGACGAGAACTCCACCCCTGTCGCGCTCAACGTCAACACTCCCCTGCCATTCAACGGCAAGGATCCAGTCTACATTGCAGTGCACGCAGCGCTCTCGGACGTGGTCTTTACACTTTCGCTGCTTTCCAAGGTGCCCGAGGACCGGCAGGGCCATCGCCTGACGACAGCGTCCGAGACCTTGCCCCTCACCGTGTCTGCAGCAGGTGGGAATATTGCCATTGTCGAGGCAAAGCCTGGGCAACAAGCCTGCTCCAACTGCGGCAAGTGCTTTGCGCCAACCACACTCGTCATGCACGAGCGCAACTGCGTCAAGCAGACGTACCGCTGCCCGATCGACACGTGCAAGCAGACCATGCCCATCTCCATGAAAACAAAGCACGCTCTTGTGGCGCACACCGTCCTGCGTTGCATGTGCGGTTTTGAGGCGACCCAGCGCGTGCTCCACGAGCATCAGCACACGGATTGCCGCTTGCGAATGGTCGAGTGCACCAATCATTGGTGCCGCTTGCTGGTCTCGTACGGCGACCTGGCTCTGCACACTGCCAGTTGCTCAGCACGTACCACCAACTGCCCGGCGTGCCATGAGAGCGTCATGTGGTCGGCGCTGGACTACCATTTTGAGGCATTCCACTGCCTGCCCTCTGGCATTCTCAACTGGGAGCTCCCTCTGGTGCCCCAGCTCGAGGCCCTCAACGTCGAAATCAAGCCTCCGCGTCGAGGGCGTGGAAGCAGCCAGTCTGCGAACGAAAATGGCGACGAAGATGACGAGAACGGTGACGAGACGACCGATGACACTTCCGAAGTGGACCACGCCGACTCGAGCAACCGCAACCGGCACGTCTGTGAATGCGGTGCTGATTTCCGCATGCTGGATGATTTCCAAGTTCATCAGGTGAGATCTTGATGTCCTTGTTGTTGGTGTTTTTGGGATGATCACTGGACTTTGTGTACTAACGGATTGTCTATTGTGTTTTCCCCTTTTGCAGCTCACGGACTGCTCTTTGGCCCAGCACTGAACAACAAACTTTGCTTGGTGAACTCATTTTGCCAACTGCACTTGAACGCTTTTCAAGGCACACTGTTGATTTTCAGATTGTTTGTTCCATGTTGTTTTTTCTGCTTGTTTTTGTCTTTGTGGAAATCGTTTAATGAAAGCACCAGCGTCAATAAACCGCGTGTTGGATCATTCAACCTTGCGCCTTCAAGCAATAGGGATTTGCACGTCAGTGTTGCACGGCGTGCACAGGCAGTTGGCCCGACCAATGTGCATGGCCACGCACTTGTCGCAGGTGCCCTGCGCTTTGCGACTGGCAAGCAGCTCGGTCACAAACACGACAATCTTCTCCTCGGTGATGTTGGGCATGACAATCTACAAGGACAAAACAGGTCAGCTATACTCTCTCACAGACACCGTTTCAAGACAACCACCCCCCGGCAAATGTTTCGTACCGCATGAGCAATGTTGCCTTCGCAAGCCAGCTGCCACTTCTTGACGAATGCATGCTCGTCAGGCCGCTCAAACACGACCGTGTTGGACATTGGGTTGAGCATGCTGGACACGCCGGCGTCGCGCAGACGCTTGTTCAGTAGGGCCGCACGCGTCAGGCACTGGTGCGTGTCCTTGGCAAACCCGGACTTGCCTTTGAGTTGGATGGTGTTCCACATGAACAGAGGAGCCTGGCCGTTGCGGGATCCCATGATGGTCGTGTCCTTCGAGTTGAGGTATGCAATGTGCTGCTCCACCTTCTTGACGTTGTCTTTGCGGCAGATGACGACGCCAGCCGGCATGGGGCATCCCATGAACTGTGCAAAGATGAATATACATGAGTGAGGTCAGAGAATGTGCCACATGAGTTGGCAAAAACGAAAAACAAAAAACAAAAAACAGAAGAAAAAACAAACAACAAAACTCTACTCTACCTTGTGGCCCGACACGGACATGCTGTCGATCGGACGCGTAAAGTCGGCAACAACGGTGGCATTCTCCATGAGCGGAAGCATCAGACCAGAGAGAGCACCATCGCAATGGATGTGGAAGCGCTCGCGCGGAATGTTCAGACGAGCGAGAATCGCAAGAACGCGATCCACGTTGTCAATGGCGCCCTTGACCGTGGTGCCAATGTTCAGAGAGAGGATCACGGGCACGTCCAGATTGGCGGCAATCGACTCCTCCAAGGCGGCGTAATCAATCTCCCCAGAGTACAGCGACGGCACGCACACAGACTGCATGCGATAGTAGCGGGCGGCCTTGAAGACGGAATAGTGCGATTCTCGGGAAGCGTACAAGATGCCTGTCGGGAGGCACTCGCGTGCGAGCAGCAGACCATGCAAATTGCCTACAGGAGGGGGGTCAGGGTGAGGGTTGGCATGTACAAGATGGCCAAGCGATCAATCACCAAACTCATCTCACCTTCGGTGCCGCAGCTCGTCACATAGCCCCAGTAGTCTTCGCGAGGAATCTTCCACAGATCGGCGAAAAAGTCCAAGACGCCAATCTCAAACTTGCGGGTGTGGACTTCGTAGTTGGACGCTGCCAAACAGAGTCGATTAGTTTGGGGGTTTGGTGATGCGTTGCTATTTCAGATGCAGCTCACGGCTTATTACCAACAAAGCAGTCGCCAAGGTTGTTGCAAGAGTAGTTCATGAACGAGTGCAGATGCTCATTGTCGAACGCAAGGTTGTACGGGTAGCCAAAGTGGTACGCGGTGCGCTCGGCCAAGAAATCGCGGTAGGCATCGAAGGTTTGCACGACGGCTGCCTTGCGCTTGGCGTACTCGCGCTGTTTGGCATTTCCAAGCAATAGACAGACACACACAAAATTAGATGAGAGACTCCCCCTCCCCACCGCGTGAATCATAGATGCCACGAAACTCACCTCGTCCGCAGTCAAGAACAAATCGTGAGTATCAGGATGCGGTTCAGTTTGCGCATTCGCCGCTGCGAAAGCTAAACAGGTGAGCGACACGCGCAAGGTTCATGCATGTGAGCACATAACTGCATAACTGCGAAATTAACGCACCTTTGGGAGTAGTGGTATTCGCAGCGAGACGATCCAGTTCAGCTTGCAGCAGGTTGAGCTATTCCAAATGAACGGGACAAAACAAAAATGAACGCCAGGTCAAACATTGAGTGAACAGAATACCGTGCAACTGCCAACTTGGACGCCGAACTACCTACCACAGTCGGGGAAAGCGCGGGTTCGTGCGCGATTCGCTGCTTAAGAGCAGAAAACTCGGGCGTCTCCATGAATGATTCAACGAAATTGGCGCAAAAACGGTCAAAGATGACGCGCGTCACACGGGCGGCCTTCTTTGTCGCCTGGAGCTGTGCGGTGACGGCGGCAAGGCGCTCTTGGTTGACCACTGGCGCGAGTTGGGCGACGCTAGCCAGCGAGCGAGCTTCAGCCTTGACCGTGCTCGAAACAGGGTTGTAGAGTTGAATCTGCGCGCCAAAAAACACATCGAAGCAAAGCACAAAAGTTGGAAACCAGCACTGTTTCGCGTGCATTCAAAAATCCCAGCCTTTTTCCTCCCTTGGAGCACTGACCATTTCAGACTCGACCCCAATGTCCGTGACGGCGGCGCGAATGTCGACAACGGCCTCCCAGAGCGCAGTGACGGTCGTTGTCATTGCCTCGGACAGCGCTGAGACAAACTTTGACTTTGCGTCTGCAATTCGGCCCAGGAAGGACGCGTTGGTGGCAGCCTCGTCTTCGTGGACGTCGTGGTCGTGAGACACGCTGGCATCGTGGCCTGCGACGAGGATGCGCTTGGCCGAGTCGAGGAGGCTCGTGAGACCTGCCACGTCGACGCTTGGCAATGGACGCGTGGATCCACGCGACACGCCGGATTTGGTCGCGCAGCCAAGCTCACCCTGGCCAATCACGGCGTCCGTCAGCAGCGCGACCTGGCCCACCGACGAGGCGAGCGACGTCAGTGCCGATGACGTGTTGTCGCTGTTGAGGTGACGGAAGCATGGCATTTTTTGTTTTCGGACGTAAAAGCAAGGTATCCAAACGTGAGTACGTGTCGGGGTTTCGCATTGAATTGTTGCGCGGATTTTTTTTTTTTTTTTGTCTTTATCATCGTTATCTTTTTCTTTTTCCGCCATCGCAATTAGGTGAAGATACTGTTTGAATAAACGAAACAATGCAATACGTAAAGAACACCTTCAATCTCAATGATCAAGAAGGAAGGTCAAATCTGTGAAATGGAAACAATAAAAAAAAAAAAAAAAAAAGCGGAATTAATCACAAAAAGTGAAATGTCGGAAGTCAAAAAAAAAAAAAAAAAAAAAAAAAAACCCGAAACGTGCTTTTTTTTTTTCTGCGACATTGTTCGACGATATGTAGCGTCCAATAAAAGGAGCACAAAATGCGATGGCATTGTGCAGAGTGCGGATTGTGAACAAAGAGAAGAATTACAACAATGCATTGACGATGCGACGGAGTGATGGGAGTGTTGCAGTGAGAATGGCGACAACGAGCAACAATCGGGGTGGCGTGGTTTTTGGTTGGATCGGGTTTCTGAGTAGAGTTCTTTAGACGAAAGAAGATGGCCGTCCACACACTCTGCAGTGCTCAAAGTCCTCTCATTAGAGAATGATATGCTCATGCAGAATGCCACAGAAAAAAATGGGTGCAGACGCGGGGGTGAGACATTCAAGCGATTGCAGTCTTGTTGGAAATGGAATTGACTTTGGCAAAGTCACGGTCTCTCCTTTCGTTTCGCCAGCCATTTAAAAAAAACGCAAGCACAACGCGCGCTCAAGGACAAGAAGCAAAGGAGCAAAAGGACAAATGCAAAGCAAGAAACTAGAGCAAGTAGAAGAAGCGGGCGGGGGCACCTGGAAGCGACAGTGGCTGCGACAGTGGCAGCAACGGGCAGAAATTGATCCATTGCTGAAACCAAAGATGGAAGAAAACGAACAGAAAAAATACAAAAGTGAACTGAAGCTCAAAGAACGAGCTCGAATAAAGAGCTGGATAAAGTGATAAACACAACATGCATAATATTCAATGCAGCTCACGTCAATGAAGCAGTGCAAGTCGAGTGGCTAAGAATTGTCGAAACCCGACATTGTTCGCTCGATTCTGCACTTTGTCCATCACTCTCACGCACCACTTTGAGCCCCAACAAGCCAGCTAGCTCGCGCATTGACGAAGCCAAGCGCGGAAGACGTGAACCGTCCAAGTTGTACAGTGAAAAAGTGGTTTTTTGTGGATTCAGCTGATGCGCGTCCAATGCAGGATGATATGTGGCTTGGAGCGCCATCATGACAGAATCAACTCATCCACCCCCAGTTGCAGCAAGTCGGCAGCTAGTGCAGAATGACCAATAGAGGCATGAGCCAAAATGCAACGTTCAGACACGAGTTTCACACCCGATTGCTCTGAGTCACGCTCCCTTCCATGCTCCACGCTCACTCTCATGAATAATCTTGCTGGACATGACCGTGCCAAGAGCGAGACAACCGAGGCGGATGCTCAAACTTTTGTCGTTGCCTCCTTTTTCAATGACTTGGCTGCTGAATCATTTTTTTTTTTTTTTGTTGTTGTTTTGGTTTTTTCTATTTTCTTGGATTTTTTTTTCGAATATCTTTCATGACTGATTCGACTTCTCGGAAGGCGCTCTTGCAGCCGAGGCTGTCGCTGGGACTGCTAGTTCTACACGTTCTGCTTGGGCTGCTAGTGATGGAAGCGTCGGCGGCGTACAGAGGTGGGTGTGTTGGATGAAGCGAGTGCTTCTTGATGGCTAAGCCATATGGTGTTGTGGTGAAGGAGCGATAGCGCATGATTGCATGTGAACGAGTCAGCGAGTGTGCGAGGGATTTGATGAGTGCGATTGGGCGGAGGGAATCGCCGTCTCAGAGCAGGCCGCAGGGTGAGAGTGCGAGGGCGTGAGAGGGGAAAGTGTGGATTTTGATTGCGATTCGATTTGAGCCCACTGTTCCTCACTCACTTGCCATGCGTTGGGTCGTTTTCGGCTTTGATTGCTTGTGGCTTAGGGGCTTCGTTTTTACCGACCGCGGCGGATGAGATTGTGAGAGCTGCGGGAACTGGAGTGGTGGACAACCTCGCCTCCGCGCAATGTCCCTCTGGCAAAAGCATCATTTGGGGCTTCAAATGGTCGTAAGTCGCTGTCTCGAGTTGCTTGTTTGTTCGAGGCAGCATGGAGAGCTCATCCCTTTTTGGAAACTAGGTGGTCGACTGGTCAAGACAGTTTACCATCATGCTTCGCAGACAATAACGGGCCGTGCAATAGTACGTGATTGTGATTTTTGAGCGCCTCGTTCTGCACGTTGCTTATTATTATGGCATTTCAGTTGGCGCCACCAGTTGCTCGAGTTCTGTATGCTCACAGAGTACTACCAGACAGTACATCATCATTGTTTGTCGAGCGGGCGCTGCCATCACCGGTTTGACGCAGCAGACGGCTTATGGTGCTGGGGCGCAAACCGCCTCCTGTCCTGCTGGCACCGTCATTGTTTATGGGTTTTCCTTCTTCATGAGCGACGGACTGGCCAACACCAACTGTCTCTACAACAACAAGGTCTGCGATCTGGGCCAGCAATCTTGTTCAACTTCTAGCTGCTCAACAAGGCATTGTGGCGGAAGTGGGGGCGATGAGTATTCGTTCATCTACCTCCTGTGCATGCCATCCGCAGCAGTAACATTGAGCTCTGCAGATTTCGTGTCGAAGACAGGAACATCGGGCGCTGATAGCGTTGCTTGCCCGGACACTTCCAATTACAAAATCAAGTTTGGCGTGGCAATGCATGAAACGGGTTTTTATTACGACCAAAATCCGTCCAACTGCCTCATGTTAAACAATCAGGCTGCTACGTATAACAGCGACATTCTTAATCATGTCGCTTGCGACACCTACGACGACAGTTGCAACAACGACCAGTTCTTCCTGCACGCCATCTGCGTGGACGTCAGCGCACCTTCCACGCCCTCCATCACTTCACCGACCCAAAATCAGATCGTTCGGACCAACTCGGTCACATGGACTTTTACGGCGACCGACGCTCAGTCCGGCATTGACCACTACGAGTGCCAGTTTTCGTCGAGTGGCGCATGGACGACTTGCACTTCCAATCAAGTGTCGACCTTGGATGTGGGCACCTATTCTTTCCAAGTTCGCGCTGTCAACGGAGCGGGCCTGACATCATCCAGCTCGGCGCTCACATTCTCGGTTGCGTGCCCCTCGGAGTGCGCTACTTGCAGTCCATCCGATGTGAATGTGTGCCAATCGTGTGCGTCTGGATTCTACTTGTCTGGAACATCGTGCGTCTCGACCTGCCCTGAACCAAACTGGGGCAAGCCTGACGGCACCTGTGGCGATTCCTGTCCTGCGAACAAGTATGGAGACATACACCAAAGTCGTGCGTGTGTTTCAACTTGCACGAATTTCGCGCCAGCGAATGCATCGCCGAGCACAAGAGTTTGCGTTGACCAATGTCCTAGCCCATATTATGCCGATTCCAGCAACCACCTTTGTGTTGAAAGCTGTCCTGCTCCCAACTATTTTGGTGATGCTTCTCGAAACTGTGTCACACCCTGCCCCGATGGAACGTACGGAAACCCCTTGAGTTCTCCTCGTGTTTGCGTGTCAGCTTGCACAGGCGGGTACTATGCCGAGCCAATCAGCAAGGTTTGTGTCCAGACTTGTCCTGCTGGGACTTATGGCGACGGTCTGCGGACTCCGCCGTCGTGCTCGGCGAGCTGCACTAGTGGCACCTTGAAAGATGACAGCACTCGACAATGTGTTGCGAATTGCCCAGCCAACTCTTGGGCGGATTCTCCGACTGGAAGCTGTGCTTCGAGCTGTTCTTCGGGACTTGTCAAACAAAATTCAACTTGGACGTGCGTGACTGCATGTGATGGGAGCCTCTTTGCAGATTCTTCAAGCGGATCGTGCGTTGTGTCATGTCTGTCGCCGACGTACGCAAATTCTCTTGCTACTCCGCCATCGTGCTCGGCGAGCTGCACTGGTGGACGCTTCAAAGATGACAACACTCGACAATGTGTTGCGAATTGCCCAGCCAACTCTTGGGCCGATCCCTCAACTAGCAGCTGTGCCTCGACCTGCTCCGTCGGGCTTGCGCACAATGCCACCTGGTCTTGCGTCAACACTTGCACTGTCGGCTATGCCGACAACTCGACTCAGTCGTGCGTGACTCGATGCCCAAGCGGCACTTTTGCTTTGAAGCCGTCTCATTCATGCGTCGCTGCGTGCCCATCTGGCTACAACGCCTCCAACTCCACCAGCTCGTGCGATGACGGCTCTTCTGGCGCTCAAAGCAATGGTGGCAGCAGCCGTGTTGCCGCAGCTGCTGGAGCCGCAGCAGCAGGCGTCGTTGTTCTGATTGCGATCGTGGTCGCGGTTGTACTTTTGCGTCGAAGGAAGCAAGGCCGCAGCAACCACAAGATGGAAAGCACTTCCGCTTCTATCGAAATGACCAACCCGAACTTTGCTTTGAGCCACGATCCAGTCTACGATGTTGCTGGTCAAACCAAGCAAAAGAGCTCTTACCCTGCCTCGGCTGACTACGCACTGCCGCTCAAGCCAAACCCCAGCGATCCCGAGTATGCCGCGGTCGGAGGATTGCCTTATTCTACGCCGTCAATTGAGTACAGCCTTGCAGTGGTCTCAACATCTGCAATGCTGTCATCGCAGATAGCCACTGGCGAGCGCAAGCTGCTCGGACGAGGCGCCTTTGGAGAAGTGTTTTCCGCGAACGTGTCCATTGCCCTCATTGCTCCCCAGCATCGCCACCTGTTTGCCCCTGGCGCGCAGACGGTGGATGTCGCAGTCAAGACTCTGCAATTGGATGCGAACGTTCGAGCGGAGCAAGACTTTGTGCACGAGGCCGAGCTCTTGCGCAGGCTGAACCACACCAACATTGTCAATGTCCTCGCGGTGCTCCCAGCCGGACGAGGTCAGCCGCAAATGCTCGTTCTGGAGTATGTGCCGTATGGTAAGTTCTTGACATACAGTCGTAGTTCCAGCTGGTGAAGCGGATTTTCATTGGTGTTCACTTTCATGAAAACTCTACAGGTGATCTCCGCAATCTGCTCCGGAAATCGGCAAAGAGTGGTGTCGTCTGGTCGCTAGACGAGTATGTGCATGTGGCTACCGGTGTTGCCGAAGGCATGGCGTACTTGGAGCAATCGCGTGTGCTTCATCGTGATTTGGCCGCACGGAATATCCTTGTTGGCGAGCATCTGGTCGCCAAGATTGCCGACTTTGGCTTATCCAGGGAGCTGAACGACAAGGACTATTACAAGTTGCAGTCGAAGCAGAAGTTGCCGATTCGCGTAAGTCGATTAATTGCCGAGGACGCTTTGGGTCGATGGTTTGTTGTTTCTTGTGGCCTTGTATTTACACTCGGGTGCATAATAGTGGATGGCGCCCGAAACACTCAACTATCGCAAGTTCTCGAGCCAATCGGATGTATTCTCGTATGGCGTTGTGCTTTGTAAGTTGGATTTGCACTTGTCGAGCAAAGGTTGAATTCCGCGACGTTGCTCACGCTTGCCTTTTGAATCAGGGGAGCTCTTTACAATGGGCCAAGTACCCTGGGCGAAGGTCGAACGCGAGCAGTACCTTGTGGGTCTGGAGCGCGGCGATCGTTTGCCGCACCCTCGGGACTGTCCTGCGCAACTCTACTCGCTGATGTTGACGACCTGGGAATGGGAACCCTCTGCACGCCCTTCGTTTGCCGACTGCGTGCTTTTGCTTCAGCAGGGCCGTTCGCCACGCGGCACAGTTCGCGATTTGGGGGCTTTGGTGCATTGATTTGTCGATGAACGCTTCTCCAAGCCCTGGTCTTGCCATGTACTTATTATCACTATGGTATACTAACATGCGATGGTGGAATCGGGAAGAATAGACCCGACAAGAATAGAAGGAGGGCAGCAATGAACAGCTAAGCCAGTTTGCTGTGTGTTGACAACTCAACAATTGCGGCGCGTGTTTGTTTGTTTGTTTGCATTTGTCTCCACTTGTTTGGATTGTCTGTGCTTTGAATACACCGCACGGCACGTATTTTGACGAATACAACTTTACGTTGAACACTCCAAATGTCTTCTGCTGGATCACCCACACAAGCACCAGTCAAAGAGAAGGAGATGCCTTACCCGAAATCGCCTTCGCTCCAATCTCGCCAATCTGAGGCAGAGGCCTTTCCACAATGCGGCTCACATTAACACGAGTTCTGAGCCTCCATGACGAAATGACACAACTTAAACTGGTAGTCCAGTCTCCATTCTCTCACTTTTTTTTTCTTTCACAAGATGTCAACGCGCGTGTCGATTGTTCGCGCTCCGCTGCAAGCCACATTGAACGTGACCCCCGTGACGCACACACTGCTGCAGCTGCACCTGCCAACCCATCACGACCACGACCACGACCACAACAGTGATGACACTGCAACCACCCCAACAGAGCTCCAGCAACAGCAGCAACAACAGCAGCAGCAGCAGCATGGATGGCTTGCAAGCTCAACGCCTGGCACTCCGCCCACACCCGCCACCTCGCCCGCAACCACGCTGACACAGCCGCCCAAGCTGCACGACGCCACCCCACAGCAAACACATACACAACAGCAGGCTCAGCAAACCCCGCAACCCCAACCCCAACAGCAGCCACCGAACAAGCATCGCGTGCCTGCCCCGCCGTCCATTCTTGAACAAGCAGCCGCGCGTGCCACCAAGACCATGGTATGTTCTCTTTCTCTCTCTCTCTCCGCGTTCTCTCTCCTCATCAACTCATCGTGGCTTCTCACTGTGCAGTTGAGTGCGACTACTCACAAGACGAAGGCGGAGGGTTGTTCTTGTATTGGAATCGCGTCGTGTGTGGGGCAATGCGCAAAATTCTCCCATTCCACTCTCACGCACTCCTTCCCTCTCCTTCCCTCTCCCTCTCCCTCTCCCTCACTCACTCGCTTCTCTCTGCTCTCCTGCTTGAGCTTCTTCTGTTTGTTAACAAAAAATCATGACAAAATCCTTTTCAAAAAAAAAAAAAAAGAAAAAAAAAGTCAGCAGGACAAATTAGCCACGAGTTTCAGCCTAATTTTTCAATTCACTATTCAGTATAAATCGACCCATCACAGTTTTGTAGGGATTGTCGGGGTGCTTTTGTGAGCCGCATCCTATGATTTCCCTTTCTTGTCTTCCCATTGGCTGCACATGACGCGGCTCGTGCTCCATGTCAGCAGGCCAAAATGCCACCCCCCCGATTCGCCCCCCGTGAGTGCCAGAGTGGCGCTACAAATATTCAAGCCATTCCACTGAGAAGGACGCAGTGAGAGAATGAGTGCGATAGAGCAGCGAGTGAGTGGGTTTGGCGGGTTTTTCCGCTCCTTCTCGCTTTTCATTGCGCAAGAACACCAACGCATCGACCCAGCATCCCAGCAAACCCAAAGTCGTGTGCTCAAAAATGAGCCTATGTGGTGTATTGCTCGTTCCGTGAGCACATATGTCTCTAGGTTCAAATTGTGTCCCCTCCATCTGCCATTCCAATGGCAGAGAAATGGCCACACTTTTTTCCCCTTTGTTGAGCTGTTTCGCCACTTCCGTTTCGTCGTTTCGTCATGGTGACAGTGATGATGACACAAAAATTCACTTAGACTCACACAAAACACACACAACTTGATTTTGGCAGTTCACACCCCATCTCAAGCCGGGCCGGTCATTGCTGCAGGTACAGTAAAACCACCTAGACGACACTTTGTAGCCTTGCCAATCACTCAACTTCCCCGTCTTGTCTTGTGACAGATTGCTGCGGCCATCCCAGAGGCAAACATCACCCCGAGCACGTCGGACTTTGGGAATCCTTTCGTCACGTACAAGCTGCAAATAACCCTCTCGAGCCAAGTCGAGGCTGCAGATCCCATCAAGCGCACGCGCACCTTCACGCTGAACAAGCGATACTCGGAGTTCTTTGACCTGTTTGTGACGGTAAGCCTGCACACCGAGACAGAACGGAAGCATCTCGCTTTTTGACAGTTCACTCACTTTTTTTCTTTCTCTCTCTCTCTCTGGCAGCTCGCAATCGAATTGCCCGGATCATTTATCAGCGACTCGTACCCTCCCTTCCCAACAAAGGTCATCTTTGGCAACTTTTCTGCAAGGTTTATCGAGAGCCGCCGAAGAGCGCTCGAGCAGTTTTTGCAATACCTCGTCAACGACGAGACGATTGTTGCCAGCGCGACTCTGAAGACATTCCTGAGCCTCTCGCAATTGGTAACGATGGATAGATTTGCAGCAGCTGCCGTTCTTGAGTTCCACCTCTGTTTCCCCCCCTCCCTTTTTTTTTCCCGCTCGTCGCTCACTTGCTCGCTTTGCACTTTGCCCACTTTCACACTCGGACAGCAACATGAGCTCCACACCATTCACCGCACGAGCGCCCATTCCGACGGCTCGCTGGACACAAACTTGTCTGCCGAGGAATCCCTTCGGCTGATCCAGAATCTGCGAACCGAGCGCCGAAACGATCTCAACGAGTTCCGCACTGCCTTGCATGCCAAGGAAGCCGGCCACCTCACCTGCAAGATTTGCTTCGATCGCAACGTCGAGGTGACTCTGTATCCCTGCGGCCACACGTTCATGTGCGAGCGTTGCGCTCGCCGTTTCGAAACCTGCCCAGTCTGCGCGCGCGGCTTCAACTTTTACTGGAAGGTTTACTTTTGAAGACCATCTTCTATTTTCATCCCCCCCTCCTCTTCTTCTTGTACTGGCGCTCTTCTCCACACTTCCTTTAGTTTTGATTGATTCACTGTTTTCTTTTTGTACTTTAACCCGTTTGTGTCTTGATTCATGTTCTCGCTTCTCTCGTCTCTCGCTTCATTTGTTTTCTGTTGTTCGCCCCGCTTCCCTTCTTGTGTTTCCTGCATGCCAATGTTGTTGTTTGTTTGTTTGCGTTGTCATCTCATCGTTGTACCATCTCCCATCGTTTTGTTGTTTTTGTTGTTTTTTGTCTGACTGTATCGCTTTTTTTTTTTTTTTTGGTCTGTGTTCTGTTGCATTCCGCAACCCCCCTCATTTGTACTACTTACTTGTTATAATACGACTCGACTGTTTTTTAACACGTTTACGTAATGATACAACATGATATCCTGTCCGCATGCACTTTATTTGGGATTCCCCAGCTTAATAACATCGGGCACAACATGATTAGATGGATGCATGACTGGTCCTTCACGACCAACCCGGTAGCTAGCTGACTTGTCTACCATTCGTTTGTGCATCTCGGTGGGCTCCTCGACGAGCGGGGACATCGAAACAAGCGACAACAACAACAAACCAAAATCCTTCGACGAATGAGCGCGGGAATCCCACAAAAGAGGCGTTTTGCGTTGTGCCCTATTTAAGGTTCAGAGCGAATTGAGTGATTTTGTTCTCAGTCCTCAAAACAACCATACAATTCGTTTTGATCAAAACACGCAACTCATGAATAGCGCAGAGTTCGAGTTTCAACCACAAGGACGCTCTGCACCACAGTTTGAGGTAAAAGTCTCACGGAGCACAAGCAGTTCCGACACGCTCCCCATATACTACACCAGTTGCATCCCATACCACAATATTAGCGCCCGGATGTCGGGGATTGTGGGGGAATGGATGTGCGATTTTCCGATCGTGCCGCTAAGATTGCTGTAGCTCGCGAGCATTGACGATCTGGCCGCGTTCACCCCAAACACGCACTCAAACAAGACATTCAATGCAAAGAGTTTGGCAGCGTGATTGTCCACGAGCCTGGATGTTTGCAAGACTGGGGAAAGTTGGCAAGGTGCATCACACAGCAAAAGAACCACTGTGCCGCTCAAAACTTAAAATGGCCCATCCGCTCTCACACTTTATCTGTCCACATACGACATAAACACACGCAATCTAAAATTTCAATACAACAGTATGAGGGTGGATTATTACCGAGTCTGGGCGTTTGCCATACGGGGGAAGTTGGTGCGGCGTGCACAAAGAATGTACCACACAGCTAGACAGCCAGGCCAGGCCGGTACACAAGCCGGTAAACAAGCCGGTAAACAAACCGGTAAACAAGCCGGTAAACAAACCGTCCACACCCGGCTTACTACGAGACGGCCAAGCCGTGTAGTCCGATCCCATACACTATCCAACTTAGTTTGACAATGTGCAGTCCGCAGGTTCATGTGGTGATTCCGAAGGAACACATTGCCCCATGCGAATCTACCTATGGCAGTCCATTGGTTCAGTACAAAATCATCGTCACGTTTGAAAGCGCGACGACTCGCAAGCTCGACTTTGTAGTGAGGAAGAGATTTTCGGAAATCCGCGAAATGTACGATGGTGTAAGTCGCGCACCTCCACGAGCCGCAATACCGCATTGAGTAATGAGGGTAACATCACCTCACATTGCTTGTACATCTCCAATTTCAGCTTCGCGTCAAGTTTCCTGAGCTGTTCAAAGACGAACGCTGCCCACCCTTTCCAGCGGGAGCAATTTTTGGCCTCTACAATGTCACGTTTATCGACACCCGACGAGTCGCGTTCGAGAAACTCTTCCAATACATCGTCAGCCAAAAGGAACTCAAGTGTAGCGATAAGCTTTCACAATTCTTGGAGTATTCGGTGAGAGCTTGCGATCGCGTTGAACAGTCCGAGTAGTCTCAACATTCGAGCTCACGTGCTGCTTCCGTTGCTGATTGGGATGGTGCTCGCAGAATCTCCTCAAGGCCCTCAGTCGTCAAGCAGATCAAGCATCTCAAGTACCGAGGCACGCAAACCCTGGGGCTCCTCGGACCAGCGTGCATTCTGATGGCTCGTTGGATGCCACCTTGTCTTTTCAGGAAGCCATTTTGCTGATCAAAAGCCTGCGCAAGGAGCGCGAGAATGAGCACGCAGCATTTGCGGAAATACGCCGTCTTGCAGAATTGGATTTTGAGAACGAAGTGCAGGCTCGTGTCGAAGAATCCAGTCCCGTTTGCAAGATTTGCTGGCTGAAGTCAGTTGAAGTGACTCTCGTTCCTTGTGGACACACAGTCATGTGCGAAAAGTGCGCGACCGATTGCCCCGGTCACCGTTGCCCCTTCTGCAACGTGGAGTTTACCCAGTCGCTGAAAGTGTTTTTCTAGAGCGACAGCATCGGGTCCTCGTCGACTTGGTCTCATCATCGCGTTCTTGCACATCTTTTCTTTTCAATTTGTTGATACTATTTTCTTCATGGTGCATATGCCTGTTCTATTTGTCGATTTTCCGGCACCACTGCTGTTTGTGTTTGTTCTCAATACAATCAAATTCACGCACTGCCATCCAAACACAGGCTTCAGCACAAACCAGTTGCAATACAACCACGAAAACAAGCACGAGAGGTGTTTACCACGGTAGATCTGGTATATTTGATTTCTAAATGCACCAACACAAACACCAACAACACAACAGCACCACTACAACAACAACAACAAAACCACTACAAAAAGAGCGCCAATCGCTCTCGGAAGGACATCTTTTCGGGGTCCTCGGTGGTGAGCCTGCTCTGCTTGGCGCGGTCCACTTCGGCTGCAGACACCTCTTGCACCCATTGCGGAGTGATGAGTGCAGACATGGTGCTTGCACCCGCCGCCTGAGCCATGGTGCCACCAGTGGCCTGCATCTTAAACTTGTGCAGGAGCAAGTTGAACTCGGCAATGTCGCGCTCGAGGGCTTCCGAGCGCTTGCGCAACGAGTGCAGCTCAACCTCCAGATCGACGCGCGTTCGTTTTGTCAGAGCCAGCGTCGGAACGGAATCCCGAGTGGCAATCTCCGACTGGATGAGCGCAACTTCAGCGTCCGTCAACGGCTCCTGGCCAACCAACTCGCGGCGCTGGTTCTCGGTCTGCGCCTTCAGTGCGCCCTTGCGTTGAACGAGCACGTCGAGGCGCTCTCGCACAGACTGAACCTCGCTCTCAAGAATGCGCTTGCGCTCGTTCACACCATCAAGCGCGTTTTCGGGGTCGGTGAAGCTGCCTTCTCGCGAGATGGTCGCCAAGGACGGCTTGCGCGCCATGGGCGCGGGAGTGGTGTTGTTATTCTGAACCGCAGAGGCGGCAGCCGCCATCGCCGCTGGGATGGACGAGTCGTGGTGCGTGTTGGCGCCCGGACGCACGGTGACGGACGATGCGCGTCGAATAATGGACACACGGCGACTGACCGACGGGCTGGCGCCCTGCTGATGCGGCGAGCGACCACCACCGCTGGAGTGTGGCGCCGCCGGTGCAGCCCAGGCCGACCCAGACGCAGCCGCCGAGACGGGTGTGGGAGCGACAGGGGCTGCGGCAGAAGCAGCAGCAGGCGAGGATGCTTTCGCCGGGGTGCTCGCCAAAGTGGCAGAAGAGGAGGGAGCGGATGTCGCAGCCATTGCTGTTGGCTGCTTGGGGCTGTCTGTTCCGGCCAACTCGGCTGGCTGCAAAACCAATTCGTCAATGACGAGCGGCGAAATAATGGTGGAGGCTGCATCCGCTTTCAGGGTGCTTTCCAGTTGTTCCACCTCGCGCAAACGCGAGCGCAGTTGGGAAACCTCGTGCTCCAACTCCTTGTTGCGAGCGCTGGCGTCAGTAATGTTTTGCTGCTCACGCGCCAGACGATCCTGCACGAGTGCAAGCTCTTGCTTCATCTTTTCCTGCGCCTGCTTGTCGGCAGCGGCTTCGTTCAAGCGAGTCTCAAGCAGCTTCTTGCGTTGCCGCAGCTTCTTGACCTCCTGACTGGACGCGGCGACTTGTCCTTGAATGGCATCAATGGACTCGAGTTTGGACTGGCGATTCAAGTTGCAAGGTTCGAAGGAGAAAAAAAAGGGTAAGTGAGTCTGCACCAGCACAACATGGAAAAAAAAACCAAACAAAAAAAAAAAAAAAAAAAAAACAGCGAGTTGCCGTACCTCCAGCTTCTCTTCTTGGGTTGCCAGGAACACCTTGACATCTTCCATTTGCGTTGTGATTGTTTGTTCTTCTTCCAAACGCACGGCCAGCTGCAGCAGAAGCGACGACGGCCCATTTGCCAACGCCTCGCGAGACTCGTCGTCGACCACTTCGCACTGCACAACGAGCCGGGCACAAAGAGCAAAGTCCACCCACGTAAGTTAGCAAAGCGAGTGAGCTCTCAAACCTCCCCCCCCAAAAAAAAATCAAGTCAAGCAGGAGGGCGGGCGCTCACCTCGTCAAGCATCTGAATCAACGCCTTGTTCTCTTCGCGAACCGCTTTGCCGAGTCGAATCATGCTATCGACAATGGCAAGCGTGGGCAGTTGCTTTTCCGTCTCCTGCGTGAGGCGCTGGTTTTCGAGGTGCAAGTCCTGGGTGCGCTGCTGCTCCTCATAAAGCTCTTTCTGGAGCAGACTGAAAGCCTCAAACATTTCGCTCTTGAGAGCAGCGACCTGGCCTTTGATGCGCTCGTTCAAGCTCACCAGCATTTCGCGATCCTCATTGATGAGGCGGATTTCTTCCTGCTGCGCGGTCACCAAAGCAAGCAGCTCGTCTTTCTGTCAAGCCGAAGGACAAAACAAAAAGCATCACACACCACAAGCAAAAGCGCAGTCACACAAGAACGAGAGTCAGCGGCAGGACGGACGCTCAAACAGAGGCACACTCTGTTGTTCACGTGTGGACGTACAGAGAACCCGTCAGCCACGTCCGAGCCAAACCGGGGTGGAGCGTTGTAAGTAAGCGTCTCGGTGATGGCAGCTTGTGGAAGACTCATCGAGACTTGAGCCACGAACGTCTGTTGTTCATTGGCCTCACCCTCGGTGCCGTTGATGGTCGTCTCCTCCAGTTGCCACTCCTTGGACTCTTGTTCTGCCAAGAGCTCTTGGCCCCGTTGGAGTTCCTGACGGATGAGCTGTAGTTTGGCCTGCTCGTTGGCATCATCATCACCCTCTTGAACCGCCGAAAGCCGCGTTGACGAGGCGCGGCCTGGCCGCGGAACTGCAGCATCCTCATCGTCGTCCGTGTCGAACGCCAGGCTGGGGCTGGCCAAGCTTTGAGACGAGAGTTGGTTTTTGAAAAAGTTGCGACCAAAGATAGAGACTATAGATTGAGCGCAGCAGACAAAACGGTGGAAAAACGTGAGCACCGATGCCTGAAAAATCGTGTTTGTGCATTAACTGTACCGTCCGATTTCATGGACTCTTCAGCAAGCTCATCCGGTGATTGCAGGATTGCAGCAAACGACATGGCCGTCATCCACTAATGGCATGCAAACAAACAAACAAACAAACAAAAAAAAAAACGAAAACAAGAAACTCAATCCACCGGAAATCGAAACGCAAGCAGCAATGCAAATCTTGCACCATGAACCAACCTGCTTCATGTGCTCGACCGTGTCACCAGCAAACCAGTACGTGCGCATGCCTGGATGGTGCGCCTTAAACGCATGCTTTCGCGAAACCTTGTCTTCCGAGTTGACGGGTGAAATAATATAGCTTGGCAGCACAATCTTGCCAAGGCACTCTTGGTCCTGTGCACGAAAAATGGGTTCAAAAAGTTAGTCGAGAAAGTGCGAGGTGACTAGTGCAGGCTGTTCGTTCATCTTCATGGTTCGGTTCATGGTTCAGCCATTCGCTCACCTCAGGAGACTTGTAGTAGTACAGGCAGAAATCTTTCAAAATAAACCAGCGACGCCGCCAGTTCTTGAGGGTCAGACCAGACCCGCCTTGCTTGGCCAGCCATCCGGAAAAGTCGGGATTGTCCAGCTGACCGGCGGCCACGATAATTGCCGGCTTGCGTGGCTTTCCTCGCATGCTTGATGATGAAGCCATGCTGGACGTTGAGCTCTTGCGCGAAATGGATCCAGGAACACTCAACGAGTCGCTCGATCCGCCACTCGCCAGCAGAGGGTTGGAGTTGATGGAACCGCGCGTCGGTGTGGAGGATCCAGTCATGTCAATCCACGTCTCGTCGCCCAAGTTCAGGTTGTTTTGCCGATGGTTGATCACTCGGCTGGGTGAGGGTGGTCCGACCGCTTGCAGGTTGTCCGACGATGTTGACGTGGGGAGTTTGGTGACTGGAGCGGCAAGTGCAGCATCGACGGGAGCAGGTGCAGGTGCAGGCACAGGGGCAGGTGCCGGGGCAGACACGGCCACGACCGGGGCAGGGGTTGATGCTTGTGCAGCTGCAGCGGCGGCGTTCGCAGCATTCACGGCTGCAGCGCGTGACGGCTTGACCATCCGCCCAGCCCCTGTGTTGGCGCGACTGCGCCCATCTTGCGTAATGACAACAGCGCCGCTGAGAATGTTGGGGTCTTTTGGTTTCCCCGTGACTGGGTGGTTGTACGTGCAAGTGTGCGTGTTGTGACTGTGAAAAGTGCAGAACGAATGCAAAGTTCGAGTGAGAAGAAGTTTGATTGAGAGTGTTTTCTTTTGGCCATGCAGCGTGTGACCATACTCGATAAAGTACACGAGGCCATCTGCTGTAACGCCTTCCTCCCAGCCGTTTGGCAAATCTGCGCCAATATGGTTTTTGTTTTGTTGGTTGAGCACATCACTCGGAAGCAATCGAGCAGTCAAAGGCTGGCTGCTGCTTACCACCATAGCGCGACTGTCGCTGCAGGAACGGCCGTGATGTTCTCGGATCGAGCCACGACGACTGCTTTGAATCGTGACTGTTAGAAGCACAACATCAATAGGCATAATGGTGAGGTGAAGATGAGTCAAGTTGGGAAATACGCCTCGTAAGTTGACTCGGATGTGTTCGGGTTTTGATACATTCCGAATCGCAGCTTGCACTCGGCCGTCAAGTGACCCGTCTCAAGGTCTCAAGTGGGGTGAGAAGATGACTGTCTTGCTGCTCCATTCGATCATGACCATGACCATGAGCATCACACATCCAACGGTGGATGCGAATTTTCGCATGTTGCTGCGCATTCACAATTCACAGCGCATCGCATCGCTTTCCGTCCATTCGCCCCGGTTGTGCGCAGTGCTCGCGTGAGGGTTGATGCACACTACTGTCGCCAAATGCTGCAGCACCAGGACTGTGAAGGGGACTGACGAAGGGACTCGAAAATCATGAAAAAATTTCAAAAAACACGACCCGACACCAGTTTTGGAAAGGCATTTGGAATGAAGGAAAACCAAGGGCGGGTCGGTCGCCGCTAGTGAGTGGCTCCGTATGAACTCGCCCTAAAACCCCAACAAATCCGTTACCACCCCGCTCACTAAGTGTCAGATTCCTGTTGTGGTTTTGGTGCAATGCCCCTCTTTTTGTCTCAATCTCGGAGCGTCCGCCCGGGCCTTTCCTTCCTTCGACACGAATGCCGTCCCATACTCCCACTCCCCAAAGCAATCCCAAATGTCAGAGACTGAGGCAGGTCTGAAAAGGACTTGGAAGCAGCGGACTGACTTGACAAAGTAAATCTTGCCCTCTGGCGTCTGGCGCTGGGACCACCCTGCAGGCAGCGTCATGCCGACCAACGGAGGCGCAGCAGTGGTAGCAGTAGTAGTCGTAGCAGGAGTCGAAGTCGTCGTGGTCGGTGGAGGCGAGGCGGGCGGCGCTGGCTCGTAATGGTGGTCCTGCACTGAGGCAGCTGCATTGCTCGCTCCTGATCCTGCTTGACCCGCTTGCTGATCGCGATCACCATCACGACCACCATGGCCATCGTCGTCGTGAATGGGAGGCTGATCTGAAGGCGGTGATTCCTGTGATGACGCGCCGCTCATTTCAGAAAAGCACAAGTCGAAAATAAGAAAAAGAACAAAAACAAAGAATGAATTTCTCAGATTTTTAGATTTTGTTGTCAGGTTCAGTTTTTCAATTTTATTTTGTGCCCGAATTGCAGTGTTTTTGTTTGACAAATCCAAACCCTGTTCTCCTCACTCATTCCCTCATCATCCCCTCATCCCCTCATCGCTCACCAAGCATCAGTGAAGCAGTGACAGTGATGAGCAGCACTCGAACGCCACCGCCGCGACCGCCACCGCCCGCCTCTGCTGCGTCATCAGCCATCATGCAAACGCCGACAGCGCTTCCTACAAGGACGAAGACGACGGCTGCGACTGCTGCTGCTCCTGGGACTGCGACCACTTCGACTACTACGACTGCTGCTGCTATGACTGGCACGCATCATGATGACGCTCAGGGCGAGGGCGACCATGCCGTGATTGCAACGCAGGAGCTGCTCGCGTACATTGAGCGGCTGCAGCGGCGAATGAGCGAAGTGCTCATCGAGAACGACGCGCTCAAGTCAAAGTCCGTCCAGCAGGCAGCGCGACTCGGCGAGCTCGAAGCACTGCTCATGTCGCAACATGCTGCTGCAGGAACGTCGAACGAGACATCGACCTCGTCAACGTCAGCGTCAGCGGGATCGCGGAGGAGCAGAATCAAGCAACGACTCGTTGCCGGCGTACATCGGTCATCCGCGGGCTCGACCGGCGCAAGTGACCATGTCAATGATCATGGATGGAACAAGTCAACGGCTGCGCAACCGGCGGCGACTGGCAGGCGCGAACGCATCAAGAACGTGTTTCACAGGAATCGCAAGGCGCCGGACGAGCAACAACTCGATCACGATCATGACCATGGCGATGGCAAAGCGCAGGCTAGCTTGTCAACGCCGTCGTCCAGCGCTAGCACTGGCAGCACTGGCAGCACTGGCGCATTCGGATTTATCGCGCGAGGCTTGTTTGGGCGGAATTCCGCTCCGGCTGCTCCCGCGCCATCCGCTCAATCCGCCTCATCATCATCGGCATCATCAACGGCAGCAAGGACAATGTCAAGCTCCAGTCAAGGGTCTGACCAGTCGTCGTCGGTCTCTGAGACGGACAGCCAGCAGCATCTCGCAAACATGGAACACGACACGACTCCGGACGACGCTTCCTCTTCTTCCGAAGTCACAGACGAGTCCCAGGAGGAGCATACGGAAGACGAGCACGGAGACGACTCAGAAGACGACGAAGGCAATTCCGAAGAAGGCTCCCGCAACGCGTCCGAAACCAGCAGCCAGCGCGAGTTTGCGCGCTTCAATCCGCCAAGGCGCCCTGTTGCTCAAATGTCGATTGATGTGCACGACGACGACGACGAGGACGAGGAGGAGGCTGAGGACGAAGACGAAGATGCTGATAGCCACGGCGGCAACAGCGACGACGACGACGACGACGCCAACGACGAACTGAACGATCAATTCTCGGAGGATTTCGAACTGGACGAAGACCCCACGGTGCAACCTTCCAGCAATCCCTCTGCGCCGACAGTTGACATGCGACGCGGCTTCCTGCTCTTGCCAGCTTCCGAAGCCGCCGCCATGTCCCCTGCGCAGGTCGAGGCGGCAGCATCTTCCAACACGGCAGCCCAGCCTACGTTGCAGCGATCCCGTTCAAAGTCCACGACCACTTCATCCACCTCATTCCCGCCGGTGGCAGTTTCGGCAACCTCACCCTCGCCACCACCATCAACCCCGCCACCCGCCTCGAGCGACCTTGTCTCGGGTTTGTCCTCCTTCTTTCGGCGCGTGTCGAGCGTCATCGCAGGCGAGCCCGAGCCAGAGCCCGAGCCGGAGCCGCCCAAACAGCACGTGTTTTCGACCGTCCACCGAAAGCGTCCAACGTGGTGCGACGTGTGCGGCGCGCTGCTGTGGAGCTTTGGACGCGCATCGCTCACCTGCGAGGATTGCGGCATGTTTGTGCACATGGCCTGCAAAGAGCGCGCTGGAGTGTGCGATCCAGAGGCTGCCCACGCTCAATCATCGCGTACGCAACCACACTCGGGCGAGTCGGCTTCGACGGGACCTGGCGCTTCGCAGGCGCCTCCCGCGCCGACGTGGTCGATGGCCACGACGATCGCCAACTTTGGCCAACGTGCCGGTTCGGTCCGGACCCACACGCGCCGAAAGTCGTCTTTGCAGCGCTCGGACAATGCCGCCAAAACGATGGCCGAGGCGGTGGCCAGCGCCAATGCCCAAGCACAGGCACGCATTGCAGCAGGCACGCAGCAGCGATTGAGCGACCCGGCTAGCTCGACAGCCCTCACAGTGCCGTCGTCACAGACCTCCATTGCCTCGACGGGTTCGACCTCGTCAACCACTTCCTCCGCGTCCGCGGGCTCAATGTTTGGACGGCTGGATGACGAGACCTTCCTCCTTCGCCTGGTCGTGGTGGGCGCCACCAATCTGCCAAAGAAGGACTTTTGGGGCACTGTCGACCCGTACTGCATCATCTCCTTTGCCGATACGACGTACAAGACTCGAGTGGTGCGCAACAATCGCAACCCCGTTTGGAACCAGCGTCTCTTGCTCCTCGTGCGGCGCACGCAAGCCAAGTTCCATCTCGTGTTCACCGTGTACGACCACGACTATTCGCGCAGCAACGACTATGTTGGCTATGCCGTCATCACGACGCTCAACGAGCTGTGTAACACGCGAACACACGAAATGGAGCTGCCGCTGTTTGACGCCCAAAAGGACGACGTGCAGGTGGGCTCGTTGCAAGTCAAGCTCGAATTCATGAAAAAGCAACAGCTCGAGGTGTACTTTTGGACGCGCCTCGTCTCCTTCTTTGACCACAACGCCAGCAACTCGTTGGAAATCGACGAGCTGAGCATGCTGCTTGATGCCCTCGGTTGCGATCTGGAATTGGAGCAAGTGCACCACATTTTCGAACTCGCCGACACCAACAAGGACGGCCACATTTCACCGCAGGAGCTTGCGGCTGTTGTTGCCAGCGAAGCAACCGGGCACAGCCTCATCCAGTTTGAACGCTGCCCCGTCTGCAAGCAGTCGCTTCCAAAGGACGACCACCAGACGTTGCTGCACATTGCCTCATGCCTGGAAACCGACCCGTCGTCGGTGGACGACTTTGTCATGGGCGGCTTCCTCACGTCGTCTTACGCCTGCAAAGGCTGGGTCAAGAAGCTCTTTGGCAGTCTTACCTATGGCCGCTACAGCCTGACTGCCAACAATGGCAACATTCTCGTCATCAACCGCGCCACGGGCCTGCTCGAGGAGGAGGAAATCCCGCCCCACATTCGGCTGTCCCTCCGTCTGATTTACCAAAGTCGGCTGAAACGCACTGGCGGCACGCTCATCATGTCCAACATGCTCAAGATGCTGCGCCACCTGACTGTCAAGCAGGGTCGCAAGTTTGACGATCCCCTCAGCGTCAAGCACATTGCCCCGTTCATCCGGTACCATCACCTCAACATGAGCGAGTTTATCGAGCCGGCAGGCGGCTACAAGACCTTTAACGAGTTCTTTTATCGCCAGCTTGTGCCTGGCGCGCGGCCTCTCGAAGCGCCCGACAACCCATCCATTGCGCTCAGCCCGGCAGATGCTCGCTCCAACTACTTCCCAACGATTCACGCCGCCACCGACCTGTGGATCAAAGGAGACGCATTTACCCTGCCAACGTTGCTCGACGATCCCGTGTTGGCACGGCGCTTTGAGGGCGGCTCGCTCGCCATCTTCCGCCTTGCCCCGCAGGACTACCACCGGTTTCACATTCCCGTGAATGGGTACATTTCGCGAATGTACGACATTGAAGGCGAGTACATGACCGTCAATCCGATGGCCATCCGACAGCCCGACGTGAACGTCTACACTGAAAACCGCCGCCAAGTGACGCTCTTTGAAACGTCAGAGTTTGGCACGGTCGTCTACGTGAGCATTGGCGCGACCCTTGTCGGGTCCATTGCCATCACACGCCACCTGGGCGAGACGGTCAAGCGAGGCGAAGAGTTTGGCTACTTTGCGTTCGGCGGCTCGACCTTGGTGCTCTTGTTTGAGCCTGGCCGCATCATTTTTGACGAAGACCTGATGGCAAACAGTGGTCGCCCCGTGGAGACGCTGGTTCGGGTGGGCACGTCGTTTGGGCGAGGCACTGTTGTCGTGCCAGTCACCCTACCGGAATCGCACCAACCCAATAAGGCCAAGGCGCCATTGAATGAGGGCGAAAGCTCTCCGCCGTCCTCCAAGGCGTCTCATCCCAGCCTGGAGGGCACCAACCAGGCCATTGCAGTTCTGGCAAGCGCGCTCCCAACCCATGTGACACTGCCCCGATCGTCGTCGCCGCTGCTGTTGGGACCTTCGCCGAACGCTGGTGCACCCAGATGGGGCCCGACAGATCCCACCCATTTGAGCGTGGCCTCCACGACCGACCACGAAGTGCACACGGCACCGCATCAGCGCCATGCGACTCCGCTGCTGGCTCTGCCCATTCTTGGCATTGCGACCGGCATCCAGCACGGTACTGTCATTCCCAGGTCGGCCACCATGCCGGATTTCTCTTCCGTTGGGGAGCAGCACTCGGCTGCCACTCCTTCCGCGTCAAGCGGAGCGCACGTCCCGTTGGTGTCGCGCGCGCATGGCCTGATTGGTCGCATTCAACCGCCTCACCTGCACCTGCCTGGTATCCCGAAAGTGCCAGTCCCATCGCTGCGTTTGCCTGCCAGCATCTGGAGAGCAACAACTGCTCCTGCTTCGGTGCCTGTCCCGCCGGCTTCGGCCCCGCCGGCTTCCGTCCCGGACAGCGACGATGATCCTTCGGTGTATGCCTCTCCCTCTGGCTCCCCACCACCAGAGACGGTCGAGCCTGCAGCTGTGCCACAACCTGTGCAAGAAGCTGCACCCGAGTCTTCAGGTTCTGCCTCCTCAAATAGCAACGCTTTGCCAATGGATGTTTCTCAGGATTCGTCGCAAGCTTGAGTGTTTAGAAATGAGTTTGTTTACTATTCGTTTGTTTCATCGTTTGACAAAAATACCAAAAATGTCTGTTCCTTTCAATCGTGCACCAGCGTTTCATTTTCACGTTGATTTGTTTCTTTTCTTCCTTCCTTCACTCTTCTCGGTTTGTTTCTCTTGCTGGTTCAACTTCATCCATTTGCTCTCTTGATTCGACTCTCTCAACTGCGTCGTCAAATACCATCTTCAAATCACAACCTTCACCATTCATTTTAAATTTCAGTTTTTTCTTTTTATATTTTTGAAACAGTTTCAAATTTTTCGCGCTTTTTTTCAATTTTTTGTTTCAGTTTCCCCCTCCCCTTTTTGTTACTTTTCTGATGCAGTCGATTTCCGCCGCACGCCGACGCACAATGCCATCACTTGGCAGCAGCAATGGCAGCAGTGGAGTCGTTGCACCGCTGGCCGCGAGCGAGGACGCCAGCCAGCAGCCGCAGCAGCAGCAGTCCGAGCCCGAAGAGCACAACATGCTCGTCCTCGTCCGAACGCGCCCGCTCAACGACCGCGAGCGCCAGACGTCCCAGCGCGAGATTGTGCGCGTTGTGCCGCCCAACTTGATCTCGTTCGACCCGCCGAGCGACGACGGAGTGCCCGCGTTCTCGACCGGCGCGTATACTTCAACAACCAACGGTCCCGCCGCTTCTGCTTCTGCTGCTCCCAATGCGGCTGTGACTGCGGGCTCGGTCGTCATGGGCCGCAAGCCGCGCGATCTGACGTTTCCCTTTGATCGCGTGTTTGGACCGCACGCAACGCAGGAGGAGGTGTTTGCGCCGCTGCTTCCGCTGATTTCAAATGTGCTCGACGGGATGAACGCAACGGTTTGTGCATACGGTGCAACGTCTGCTGGCAAGACACATACGATGGTCGGAACGGAAGACGCGCCAGGAATCATGATCTTGGCCATTCGCGAGCTCTACCGTCGCGCAGAACTCGTGGCGAGCGACCGACTGGCCACCATTGCCATCTCGTACCTGGAAGTGTACAATGAAACCATCCGCGATCTCATCCAACCATCTGGTCCACTTGCATTGCGCGAGGAGAATGGCACCGTCACCATTGCTGGGCTGTCGGTCCACACGCCGAGCTCGCCCGACGAGCTGTTTGGCATGCTGACCGAGGCGAACGCAAACCGAACGCAGCATCCGACCGACGCTAACGCCAACTCGAGCCGATCGCATGCCGTGCTGCAGGTGCACGTTCGTCAGAGCAACCGTACCGCATCCATCCACGCCGATTTCACCATGGCCAAGCTCACGCTGATTGATTTGGCCGGATCGGAGCGCGCCACCGTCACGACAAACAGCGGCGCTCGTCTGCGCGAGGGAGCCAACATTAATCGCTCGCTGCTCGCGCTCGGCAACTGCATCAACGCGCTGGTGGAGCGCTCGCGCAGGCGCAGCAACACCACACCCTACATTCCATTCCGAGACTCCAAGCTGACCCGCCTGCTCAAGGACTCGCTTGGCGGCAACTGCAAGACTGTCATGATTGCCAACGTGTCGCCCGCGCCGCTGTGCATGGAGGACACACACAACACACTCGTGTACGCGAGCCGCGCACGCAGCATTAAGAGCACTGTGGTTGCGAACGAGACCAAGGTGGAGTTCCATGTCAGCCGGTATGTCACCATCATTGACGATCTCCAGAACGAAGTCGCCGAGCTCAAAGCAAAGCTGCGCGCACAAGAAAGCCGCGCCAATGCTGCTGCCAAAACCGTTGCACAGCCGCCCTCCGTCACCGTCGCCAGCGGCTATCCGTCGCCGCTGGTCCGTCGACTGGTTTCTCTGGCGGCCACGCAACAGGCTCTCTTGGCTGCGTCCGGACGCAACACTGCCGAAAGCGAGTCCTTGTTCTCGCAAGCGATGAGCGAGTGGCAGCACGCCCAGCGCCCAAGCAGCTCTGCCAGCTCTGCCAGCTCTACCAGCTCTGCCAGCTCGGCATCCACGTTTGAGTCGCCAATCATCACGCGATCCGCAGCTGCAATGCAAGGACTAAAGCGTACCTCACCATCAACCGCAGAGGAGGATGCGGCTGCGTCGGTACGTCCGCTGGTGCAACGCTTGCGCGCCACCTTTGAGGAAGCGAGCAACAATTCTACGACCACGACGCCCATCAAGCTTCCCAGCACCCTGTCACCGCGAGGCGGACGCGCAGCTTCCCCGTCCCTCATCCTGCAACAGCTCTCCTCAGCCCGAGCTGCCGATGGTACTCCTGCTGTGGCTCGCTATGCCCCAGCGTCCGTGCTCGACTCGCTCCGCAAGCAAAAGCCAAGCGAATTTTCTGCCACTCCCGTCAAGGGCGCTTCGCCCAAAATGTCTGGCGCACGCGCACGTGCACGCGTGTCGTTTGCCCCGCAGGTGATTGAGCACTCCGACCCCAACATGTCGTACATGAGCGACCATGACGACGAGCCCGCGCTGCCTGCCTTTGCCAACGCCAATGATAGCGTTTGCTGTCGAGGCGTTGGACGAGGGGACAATCCCGGACGACTTTGGCGAGCAGCGACATGTCCACTCATGTCGACTCAGCTGCTTCCGGCACTCTGGGCGTCAAGATGCTCCCTTCCGTCGCGCATGTCGATGCCCATGTCGACCCCGACTCGTGGCGGCTCGGAACGGCGAGACGCGAGCTCGTGGCACATTGACAACATCCGGCCTGGCCCAAGCTCGGCCAACTCGGACGTCAGCATGATGGACACCACCTTGGACATGTCACACTTGCAGTCTGCTGCTGCTGCTGCTGCTACTACCGCTGCCTCGACCACCAATTCTGCTGCGTGGGCTGCCTCGCGCGTGCCCGTGGCTACCGCGACCCCGCGCACCGCTGCCGCCCTTGCCCGCCGCTCCATTGCCGGCACGGGAATGTTTGACGGCAATGGGTCTGTTCTCGGACCTTCTGGCAAGCCGACCACGCTTGCAAACGGCGGTGCATCCAGGATTGCCAAGCCGCCAGCACGCACTCTAACGAGCACAGCAGCGGCCGCCGCCGTTCACCAGCCTCAGAGCACTACCATGCAACCTGCCAGCCGCGTGGCCACGAAGGTGGATTCGCATGGCCCAAGCTCTCCCGTCTTGGCAAACTCCACTGCCAACCGGTTGCCCGGCGCGCAGCGAACGCTCAAGCCAATGACCGCAACAGCAGCGCGTAGTGGTTCCTCCATGGTTGCCAGCGCCGTTGCATCCGAATCACGCCGCGCATCTGTCAGCACGTAAGTAGAGCCTTGATGTGGCATCTGGATGAAAAACGGTTGTTCGAACAGCGTCTTCTCATTTTTCATCTGTTTGTGTACAGAACAACGGCTACTCGTCGTCCATGGCGATAATTATTCACCTATTTTAAACAAGCGTGGACATGTTCAGGATGCTGGGGGAGGGTGAAGAGAGAGAGAAGGGAGATTTCGTATTATTGGTGTTCGAGCGTTGAAACACGAGGGTGATGTCGGGTTGCGGGCTTCCCTCAGTGTTGAGTTGAAACTCTCGAGTTACTTGGATAAATGGTTGACATTGTTACATATATAAGCTGTTATGTTGTTCGAATACAAAAAAACAAAAAACAAAACTTGAATCAATCTGGCAAGCAAAGCGTACACAACGGCTCATCCTTGAAACTCAGAGATGAGATGAAATGAGATTGTAGGTTACGAGCGTAACACAAACAACGCACCAGGTGGCAATAAAGATCATCCATCGGATCGAGCCAAAGGGCGACAGGTGGGGATGGCTTTTCAGAGAACCAAACTCGCGGGCAATGCGCTTGCGGCTAAAGTACACGAGCGAAGCCGGAATGATGACTTGCACACCCAGGCCGGCATACGACCCAGTAACGTTAACGAGGACACTCACGTCGTCGGTGCCCAGCGCGACCAGGACGGGAGGGATGATGGCGACCAACGGGAAGACTGCCTTTTCAATCCAAGGAGCGTAAGGCTGGCCATCCTCACGTTCGAACAGCGTCCGCAGGTTATTGCGAAGCGTGATGGTGATGACGGGGAAGCTGGTGCTCAAGGTGAAGACGGGGAAGAGTTGCAAAAAGTACTTGAAAAAGGTAATGCTATAGTCGTTAAAGTTGAGCGAGTAGACGTCCTTGATGTCGCTGTGATGGTAGCGGAAGCTGGCCGAGTAGCACAGCATGAGATAGAAGGCCAACACAACGGTAAAGTCAAACACAAACAGCGGGATGAGGCGGCGCTTGTTGCGGATGGGCGTGACGAGCGAAGGCAGCGAATGGTGGCACATGAAGGAATAGATGGAGACGCCAAACATGGCGGGCACGGCCGTGATGTCATATCGGTCGAGGACCTCCGAGGCGGGCGGCAGGTTTGGCGTCGAGCTGTCGTTGACTTGGACGAGGCCGATGATGATCATGGAAAGGAGCGAAAAGTATCGGATGAACGAGGTGGCCAGCTGCAGGTACTTTGTCTTTTGGACGTTCGTGAAGGCGAACGGCAACATGCAGGCAAAGAAGATGGCCACAAAGAAGCGGTAGAGCGAGTCCGAGTTGAACGGGCCAAAGCAGTCCCACGTGTCGGGAGCCACCCAGGTGCCGTTCACTGGCGCAGTTCCGTTGGTGGGCTGCGGGCATGCGACCTTGCCCAGCGACTTTGGTACGGCGGCAGCATAGATGGCCAAATCGCCGTACAGGTACACTGCAATGCAAAAGTAAAAGAGGCGCACTCCGTTCTTTGAAAAGAACATGCGTGCCATCAGGCCCATCTCGGTGCGCTGTGTGATTTGGAAGGTTTGTTCCGACGCTTCGACGGCGTCTGTCAGAAGCAGAGGATGACGAGGACGGAGCAGAAAGAACAAAAGAGTCAAATGAAGACAAAACCATAGCAGTGATTTGCATGCGCCTTGTTCCAACAATGACATCCAGCATCATCATGATGCTGATGACGGTCTGGCACTTACTGGTTGCGTCCGAGAATCCTGCTGGCAAGAGCGAGCGCCGTGTCGGCTCGTGCGGATGCAACGCGCCTTTGCCTTCGACCGAGAGGATGCCGTTCGCCGAGGACATGACTTCAACCATGTATGTGATTGTAATGAAACTGCCAAAAGTCCATGATTCAGACGAGGTGAGTTGCGTTGGGGTTTTACTGTGGTGCTTCATGGAGCGACGTGACTTTTTGTCGGCGTTTTGGCCACTGCTTTTGCGCACTCGCATCCCCCTGCGTAGCCAGCACCCGACCTGGACGCCAGATCGACCTTCGCCACATTCATCAGAGCCCCCTCCCCTCGTTATACTCCATCGCGTGGTGGTGGTGGTGGTGGTGGTTTGGTCTGGCATGTTCGCACACGCTCACCTCATCGCCGCCATGAAGGCGAGCACGAGGGTCCCGAACAGCAGTCCCGTCTCGGCAAAGGCCTGCGGGATGGACAGCGAGCCAGCACCGACAATCAAGTTGAAGATGAACAGGCTGCCCAGCGGAAGGCCGTACGTGTTGCCCACGTTCTTGGCGTCGTCCATATCTGTGCGCTGGAACGAAAGAGAGAAAAAAAAAACTGAGACTGCTGAGAAAGCTGAGAAAACTGAGAAATTGGGAATTATCTGAGGAATGGAAAATGTCGAGCGAAGGGGTTTATTCCGACCATCACTTGGTTACTGAGTGAGCATGAACGCGATTCGTAGAGTGCAACGCGAGTGAAATTTGCAAATCTCAATCCATTGGCGCGGCTTCGACGACCAGCAATCGGGTCGATATCGCGAGAGTGACTGACTGATGAGATTGACTGGTGCGACAGGATGACTCGGCAGCATGTGACTGGTGCAAACGTGGCAGCAAAATTTCCCCAAATACAAAATCCCATACAAAATCCGTTGGTCGCCTTCTTCCCATTCCGTCGCTTCGCTTCGCTTTCGCTCAACCCAGCCAGCCACACAAGCAAAAGGCAGTGTGTGCTCCAGTATTCATCCAAAATGATGTAAAACTGCGCTTCACATTGTGCCAATTGAGCTTTGTTCGCTTGATTCTGATTCTGATTCACTCAGTCCTGTTTAAATTCCCTTCAACTCAGAATCAGATGAAGCTGCGCAAGTTGCTTCAGACCAAGGCGTACGAGCCATGGCGCGAAAAGTACGCGTCGTATCACAAAGTCAGTCACACACTCATCCCGGTCTAAAATGAGACCAAGAAGAAGCGTTGGCAAGAGTTGTATTGGAACACACTTGCTTATTGAGACAGTAGTGGGTGGCCGGGGGGGGGGGAAGGATAGGATTGTGTGTGTGGGGGGGGGAAAATGGGGAAAACTGGAGCACGAGTTAGAGTGAATGTGACACGCTCTGCGCTTTGGCAGGTGGAAGAGGGAGGCTGGAAGAGGGTTGAAGTGAAAGGGGGGGGGGGAAGACGAGGAGGAGTTTTGGAGGGATGGAGAGGGCAGTGGGGGACGAGCGGAGGGAGAGGGAGAGGGAATGAGGGAGAGTGGGCGACGAAGCGACAGTGAATACAACAAGGTGGATACTGATCGACGGATAGTGAGAACGAGTGTGAGTGAATATGTGAGAGAGAACGTGAGAGGAGAGGAAGAGGAAGAGGAAGAGGAAGGCTAGCATGCTGGGATTCTCAGAACATTTGCATCTGAGATTTTGCCTGACTGTCTGTCCGCTTGCTTTATTTGCTGTTTTACTTGGCACAGCTCAAACGAACGCTCGCAAGGCTCAAGGTCGAACTGCACGACGCCGTCGAGGCCTACTTTGCCAACGCGGACAAGACGGAGGATGACTTGACGACGACGAGCAACTCAAAGTACTCTGACGCAGAGTCTGCATCGTCATCCTCAGACCTCGTCGGCAGAGATGTGCGCGACGACACCATTGCCATGACCAGCGTGCAATCCGACCAGCGCGCCTCGACGACTGCGCCCAAACGCCGGTTTGGCCAACTCAAGCGTCTCAACCCACGGCTACTCCTCGCTCGATATCACTTGCCAAAGGAAGCGACCTTGCTCGAAGAAGAGCCGGATTTCGCGCCCGAGCTCATCCAAGCGGGTTAGTCTAAGAGATGAGCCATCTATTTTCGCTGGAACCATTTTGAATTGAGGAGGATTTTGACTCTGATTTTGGTCAACAACAACAACAGACAACCTTCCGCTGATGCAGATTGCTCAAGCGACCGAGAAGGACGTAGTCGCTATTCTCGAGGTGAAAATCCGTTCCCCCCATGCGTTTGTTGGAGCTTCACTTCTCTCCAAAAAGCTCACTCGTCTTCTTTCACGAATCCTACAGAGCGACGTCAAAAAAGTCAACGATTTCTTCAAACTCAAGCTGACTGGAATCAATCAAGAAATGCTCCGCATTCGACAGTTGTGCAAAGCCTCAAATCCATCATCAGCAGCAGCAGCAGTTGGTTTGGCCACATCTGCCGCTGCTGACGACACGCCCGACGACTTTGCACTGTCTCAGTCGCGCTCAAACCGCTCTTACGCGACCTTTTCTGCAGGAGGAGGCGCACGCACGCTGCCCGAGCAGCCACTGTCTGATTCGGTCGACGACGGACTTCGGGCGGCCAGCAGCCAACAGACTGCCGATCTCATCATTGCGCTCTATCGCGACGTTCTGCGCCTTCGCGGATTTGCGTCGCTCAACGTGCAGATTTTGCAAAAGATGGCCCAAAAGCTCGACACGATCACTCGCAAAGCGACCTACGGCGCGTTTGCGCAGCGACTGGCCGCCACCGATTTTGCCAGCTTTGACACGGCCCCACAGTTGATGGGCGAGCTGGAGCGGCTTTACAAAGCCACGCCCGGCATTGCATTGTCCTCTCTTCTCCTCAAGGAGCTTGGCAACGACCAGCTCTACCTCGAGCAGTCGAACGACCTGCGTCTGATTGTGCACGAGCTGGACAAGCAAGACCAAGCGGCATTGGCGCACTCAAAGCGACCATGGAAGCTGCATTGGATTGGCATCGGACTGCTCGTCGGCCTCATTCTCTTTTTCGTTCCCATCCTGGACGACAATCCGCCGGCGCATCGTTGTTTGGCTCTTCTGGCCACAATCACCATCTTCTGGGTGTCAGAAGCCATCCCCTTCTTTGTGACTGCGCTTGCCATCCCTCCAATCGTTGTGCTACTTGAAATTCTGAACGACACTGTCGTCACCGGCGACCCTTGCATCGCGAACAACACAACCGAAACTGTTTCCATTCTCTCTGCCGATGCCGCTGCCAGCCGTGTCTTTTCCTACATGTTTGATCATACCTCTGCTTTGATTCTTGGCGGTAAGCGTGCGGACGCGAAAACAGAACAACAAACAAAAAAACAAAAGAAACAGAACCAAAAAAAAAAAAAAACCTTGTGACAAACGCTAACTCTTGACTCGTGCTCTCTTCTCTGTAGGCTTTTGCATTTCTGCTGCATTCAGCAAGTACGAGTACGAGCTTTGGGTGGCCGCCTTCATCCAGAGACATGTGGGCCACAAGCCAAAGCTGTTCTTGCTCTGCTTCATGTTTCTCGGCCTGTTCCTGTCCTTGCTCATTGGCAACGTTGCGGCTCCCATCTTGTGCTCGGGCATCATGCTACCAATCATCCGTGATCTGGAGCTCGGCTCGCCCTATGCGCGGGCCATGGTGCTTGGTCTTGCGTTTGCCTGCAACATTGGCGGCATGCTGACCCCCATCTCCTCTCCTCAAAATGCCGTTGTTGTGAGCATCTACAATATCGACTTTGATGCCTGGGTGGAGGTATGTTGGCACATGCTAAAACCGTTTCGGATGGATTTGTTGGTTTTGTATTTTGTGTTTTGGGCTTGACTGATTTTGCTACGCCTTTCCGCTCGCTTTTGGCATGCAGATGTCCTTCCCATTCTGTCTTATTGCTACCATCATTGCATGGGCATTCTTGGTGCTCGCCCTGCGTCCCAACGATGTCACCTCCATTCCACGCCTGGTCTGGGAGCGAAAACCGCTGAAAATCGACTCCATCCTCGTTCTGGTGATTTCCTTCGCGACAATCATCCTCTGGTCGACGCTCACCGTGTCCAAGCCATTCTTTGGAGACATGGGTGTGATTGCATTCCTCCCCGTGGTCGTCTTTTTCGCGACGGGCATCTTGGACAAGCACGACTTTAACTCGTTCCAGTGGAATTTGATCTTCCTCATCGGAGGCGGCGCCGCCCTCGGCCAGGCCGTCAAGAACTCCCAGCTTCTTCACATTGTTGCTGACGCGATTGAACCCAGTCTGGAGGTGAGGCCTAGTTAGTTGGAACTTGTGTCCGTCAATAGCTGGTGATTCTGAATTGTTTTTTTGTTCTTTTGCCGTTTGCCAGGGCCACAACTTGTGGGTCACCTTCCTTGCCATCTGCGCCTTGGTGCTGATTATTTCGTCGTTCATTTCGCACACGGTTGCAGCAATCATTTTGATGCCTGTGATTGTTGAGATTGCCAAGGTGAGCTGTTTTTGTTTTTGCATTTCGTGGCCTGTTTTCTTCCTTTCGATCGTCAAATGTCACTGACCTGTGCGATCGTTCCTTTTTCAAACAGGGTCTGGGGCATGTGCCTGTGCTCGTGATGGGTGCTGCCTTGATGGATTCGGCGTCCATGGCGCTGCCAATGACATCCTTCCCCAACGTGGTAATGATGCGTGAACCAGCCGAACTGTGCCTGCCCCGCCGTTGAACCCATTGCTCACCTTGACCCATGCAACAGAACGCTCTGCTGACTCAAGACGACTTTGAGCGCCCCTACATCAAGCCAATTGACTTTTTGAAATACGGCGGTCCGATGTCCATCTTGCTTTTGGTGCTCATGGTATCCTTCGGTTACCTCATTCTGTGGCTGCAGTACGTGTAGCATTATTCCATGCTCAGACTGCGGCATGTCTTGCGAGTATTTGTCGTAGTCTTAGTGGCTACTTGTTTGTTTGCTGTTGTTTTCGTTTTTTTAGTTTTTGATGTAAGCCTGTACTCTATTATTACAACCGTTCTCTTCTGTCCTGCGCCAGTCTTGTTTTTTTCTCAAACCCGAGTCTTTTTTGTTTTCTGAGCATTTTCGGACACTTTGCTGTCGTAGCACACTCGGGCGGGAGTGAGTGCGAGTGAGTTGGTGGCCTCCCATTCTCAACTCCCACACACACACACACAAAGTCCAATGCAAGCGCTGCGGCCGCTCGCTCCAGACAGCTCCAGTCTGGCTGCCGAGCATCAGCATCAGCAACATCAGCAACAGCATCAGACCGAACCAGCCGCAGTGGTCGCAGTGGTCGCCGTCGTGGAGGAGCAACCAGAACCAGCGTTTGAACCAGCGTTAGAACCAGCAGCACATCCGACGCCAGCAGCAGCAGCAGCAGCAGCAGATGGGCTGTCTGACGTTGCTGGCAGCAGTGTGTTTGCGCAGCAGCAGCAGCAACAGCAGCCTGTGACTGTGACTGAAGCTGTGACTGAGGCTGTGACTGCGAATGCTTCAGCTGACTCGCTGGCGGCTGACCCAGTCGCAGTGCTCACTCCGACCGACGAGGACGGGGGCGCATCCACTATTGCCACTGCCACTGCCACTGAACCTGTTGTGCCTGTTGTGGCTGTTGTGGCTGTTGTGCCTGTTGCTGCTGAGGCTGCTGTGCCTGTTGCCGGTGCTGGGATTCCGCTGAGCCGCTTCTTTAGCAGCCACAAGCGAAGCAGCAGCCAGGGCGACATTGCTGCACTGGACTCGAGCGCTGCCGCCACAACCACCTCCACCAACACTGCGGGCGTGGCTGCGTCTGCTAGGAGCAGTAGCATCAGCAGCAGTAGTGGCGCGGGCAGCCAGGTCGCGCTGCTGCGACGGTCGGCGCTCGTCCAGTCATCGCGCTCAGCGACGCAGATGGCGCCACTCACCGCTCTGCCTGCGCTCGTCCCGTTCGGCACGCTGGCAATGATGCCGCGCGCGTCAAGTCCGGCAGCGTTGGCAACGGGACAACAACCAGGCCTGGCGTCGTTGTCCAGCAGCAATGCCGCCTCTGAGCTGGCCCCGCCTCCTCCTCCTGCCTCGGGTAGCGCATCACCCTCCTCCTCTTCTGCTGCTGCTGCTGCTGCGGCGGCGGCGGCGACTGCTTCATCAATATCACCGTCAGCCTCCTCCTCATCAGGATCGCTCGCATCGTCAATCGTCTCATCAAAGCGATCGTTCAGGCTGAAAAAGAAACAGGGAACGTCGACGCCATCGAGCTTTTCGGCCGCAACAGGTCGATCAGCCCTCACCAAATCGGAATCCGCTCACCAGCTCAGCGCACTCAGCGCGATGGATTCGGCCAGCTCTCCGTCGACGTCCATGTTCTCTTCGACCTTCCAGCGTTCTGGCGTGGTGCCCCCGCATAGTCCGGCTGCCACATCCAGCACCAGCTTCTTCCCCATCGCAGCACGCCCGTTTGCAGCCACAGTCCCTGCTCAACACGAGCCAGCGCCACTCGGAACGCTGCTCAAAGTGCGGCTCTTGTCTGGCGATGTGTCCCGCGTACAAGGTTTGAGAATGGCTTTTTTTTTTTCGTTTGTTTGTTTCTGCTTGCTGAATTGTTTGTTTTGCTGATTCTACGTGTTGCCTATAGTGGCACCAGAGACGACCATGTACGAAGTACTGTCGTACATTTGCCGGAAGAGGTTTCTTGATATTGGAACACACCGCCTGTTGCAAACGGATGTTCAAGCCGACAACGCAACCGTCGAGATTGAGCTTGACAAGCGTTTCGCCGATTTAAAAGTCAAAGAGGTTCGCTGCGAGCCAGGTGAGTCACCCTTTCTGCTTTGTCGTTGGTCGTTGGTCTGGTTGATGCAGAGCCACCAATCACTCGTCTCCTTTGTTTGTTTTGGTTTTTTCCCCGTTGACTTTTTTTTTTTTTGCTTCTGGGACAGTTTCGCGAAAAATTATCGCTCGACGGACGGAAAACTATCGCAACGACTTTGAGGCTGTCGAATCGATCGTCATCAATCACCAAATACATTTAAACAACCTGCTCAAGAGCGCCGAGGGACACTACTCGCCACCCGAAAGTCTTGACAAGGTTGGTTTCAGCTCTTGGCATTTTGCAGTATTTCGTCGTCGTGTTGTAGCATGACCTTTCGGCTCACTCGTCTTTCGCAATGCCATCCACCCAGGAAATTACACACACAAGAAAACTGATCGATATGATGACAGCCCAGAAGAAACGATTGGTCAGTTTGCTCATGTACAGTAACATGTGCTCATCCCCAAGCATAGGTAAGGGACTGCTCTGCTGCCTTCATGGGGTGGGTTTGATTGAATTCATTTTGCCACATTTTTTTTTTTTTTTTGTGTGTGTGTGTGTGTGTGTTCGTTGGTCGTTTGTTTGTTTGTTGGTTTCTGCGCCACAGTGCGACCAGCTCGCTTGTTGATATTCGATCAAAACGAACCATCGAGCATGAACACTTCAACAGACAGCTTGCCGCAGCTAAATTCAAACGGCAGCGAGGCGACATCGAGAACGACTTCGCCGCAGCCGGGAGGAGCAGCCTCTCCGCAGCTCGCCTCTAGCCGTCATGGGAGTGGCTCGTCGTCTGGCACAGCTCCCCAGACCATCCCTGCTCGCAAGTCCTCCGTCTTTTCACTGTTTACCTCGTCCGGGGGCGGCGGCGATCGCACCTCAGCCTCATCGACGCCATCTGGCGAGTTCTCCTTGCCGCACGCCAGCGGGAGCGCGGGCAGTCAATACGGAGCCTCGCTCCGCCCATCTGCTGCTACTGCTACGGATTCGGATAGCAACAACAGCAGCATGAGCAACAGCACCAACCAGCTGAATGAGATTGCAGCGTCGCCGCCAGGGTCGCAAGGAGCGTCGTTTTCTCCGCCTTCACTCTCTGTCTCTCCCTCCTCCTCGTCTCTCAGTTCCGGCGCATCACTCAACACTGCATACAAGCGTTCTCTGCGAAAGCGCACACCTTCCGGCCGGCCTCATCTTGGAGTGGATGCCGAGACGCTCGAGCAGTACGAGCAACATTCGCTCGCTGCCAAACGCGCCAACCTGGCTTCAGGCGACTCGACCTCCTCCCTTATCTCGCTTGGTGGGACAGAGCTGTCGGTTATTGTACCACCCACGCCGAATCGCCTCGGAACCCCATCACAGCTCTCCCCTTCGTCGGCCGCCGCCGAGGCAGCGTCGTCAAATTTGCATCACGCAATGATTCGCGCTTCCCTGCGCGAGCCACAGTACGAGTGTGGATTTTGTCATCTTGTAAGTGATGTGAGGGTTGGTTTTGTTGTTGCTTGTGGGGAACAACAGGGTTTTGTGGTTTGAAAACTCACACAACCTCCAATTCTGCCCTCTGATTGTTGTTGCCGCTCGCCCTCACCCTCGTGATATCCCCTCACGACACCATCCATCCGACAGCCGATTGTGGCGGAACGGGAAGACGATGCGGTTGAGGC